TGAAGTCGGGGATTGTCATGCATAAAAATATCATCCTCACCCAAATAAACCACAAATGGCCCAACGTGTTCATTAAGGATTTCTTCCACATATCTTACGCTGGTTAAAGAGCCGTTTTCTATGAACATCAGTTCTGTGCGACTCTCAGATGAAATTCAGGCCGACACGAGTATAGACCCACCACCGTAGCCTACCTTTTCTTCTATGCATACTTGCTTGAATCTTTCCCCTGGTCATCTATATACTCTGTGTTTTCCATCGTGCTGTAGAGCATAAATTTTTATCGTCGGAGAATGTAACTTTCAACCAATCATAATGGCATAGAAATGGTATTTTAGACATGAAAAATACAAAATTATCATTAAATCTCATTCTATCATGAAGTTATTGTTATAATAAACGTAATTTATTATACCACTTCAAGGAGTATCGAATCTTCACTGTCGTATTTTATGGAGAAAAATGTAGTGTTTTAATTATGCAATAATTAGCTAATTTGAAGTTAAACTGGTGTTAAATCCAAAACAATTGTACCATCTATGAATCAGGTAAAGCGCGTGTCGGGTTAGACAGTTAAGTTATTATATAAACATCATTATTATGTATTTTCTACTAAGGTTTCTTCTATTATCATAGCATAAGTCGAAAATTACGCAACCCGTACAACATATTAATGATTTGTTTTGCATACAAATATCTTTTATTTGATGTTGACCCCACATTATGTACTAAAATAAAATAATAACAATAATACTGAATAAAATTAATGCTTACCTGTAGTATTGTGTGTGTATTTGTTTGGCTGAATGGGCATAAAAACAACAGCTGCTGGTGATTTAATTTTCAGATTTCAGATAAGTATATCTCTACTATTTAAATGTTGTGTGACTCAGAAGTAATTAATGTGTAGTTAATGTTTTTCCGTATTTTTAATAAATACCAATTTTATAAGAAAATAAATACCTAATTCTTATGTATACCTACTCTTAATCCAGTTATACAAAACTGAAATAAATAGGTACCTATTAGAAATATTGCTAGCTAAGGAGGACTTATCTCTAATAGAGATTTCTTTCAGTCAACCTAAAATATTGTGATATAGTTTCTTAAGAATTTGTAGAACATGTCTGTATGGTATTTTTTTTTAATCCTATAGGAGCTGCAGAAGTAATGTTGCTATAATAATCAAGCTATCTTCAACGAATGCCCATTTTTGGGATTTATCTATATAAAAAAGAAGCAGTTTGACATAAGAAAGCAGATACCTATACATACAATGGAAATTAACACACAGTATATGAATATCATTGGTGCCAAAAAATATTGACTTCAAAAGTTAACAAGTATGATTATGTTTTAATAAGATCTATGTTTTACTAGTAGTATCTGCCACGTAGTACACATAAATTAATTGAATTTAATATTACGGTTACATCTTCATTATCATCATCTGACAAATTCGCACAAACATCTGATTTACAACCTAAATACCGAATCGAGGAGATTAGTCCTATAGAAATATAGATAAGTATTGCTGTGAAAAGTAAGGTAGGAAAACTAAAAAAATACAATTGAATATATACCCTAACTTCCTTATTTTTTTTAAGTTGGTTGTTAACTAAAAGTACGTTGGTAATATAGGCACTAGTGTTACTTACATAACTTCGTGAACACTGTAAAACCTGTTAGACAGAAGTATGACTAATGGATTTATGAATGATAAATAAAATAAATTGTAAATTGACTAATCAAACGATCTAGAACGATAAAAACGAATGAAAGACGTGAGTAATATCAATGTAAACAATATAATTAGATGAATAATTTTTGTAAAAACTCCCAGGCGGCACCTCTTCCACCTTAGCAGCTTGGGATTAGGTACTTTACATCTATGAATTTCGAGTGCTGCTTTTAGGGACTGGTCTGTTCTTAACACTACGACTGATAATATCTTTTTGCATATTTATATTTGACTTTAATAAACTAGTGCTGGTTGTTAGTTTGTATTCACACGTTTCGACTTGTAAATGTAAACTTACAAGGATTATTTAAAAGAGCAACACACAAGTTTCTTGCTCGTTCTTCTTGTGATGAGACAGCTTTCCCAACGAGCGGTAGATAAAAAAAATTGTTATGACTGTTCAAAAGTGCTTAAATTAAGTTTATTTGAATAAATTATTTTCTATTCTATTCTATATGTATACATATCCTTTTTTAAATTTTATATTTGTACCCGGTAGGTCTGAGAATAAGTTGTTATCTACCTATACCCGTGTTAAGAGTGGCCAGCTACAAAAAAGTTTTTTATTTTGGATTTTTTTATGATGTCCCAAATCAACTAAATTTTCACCTTTGCATCAACGACACTTACTTTTAATAGCGATTTAATTTACATGGCTAAACAACGTTGCCGGGTCAACCCATTTATTTATAATATTTTACAGTTTACTTATTTTTCTAGTTGATTCGAACAATTGAAAAAAATTCGTGGCTGTATAATCTAGCACCCCCATGGGTTAAGTGGATTCATTAGAAAAGATTAATACAGATATTGTAAGATTAAGATACTCCCTCTACTTACTTGATAATTTATCGACCATAAATGTCTGTCAAAGCCGTGCAAAATAAAAAGGCTATAAAACATTTTATCTAGCTATCGACCGAATAGATTTATATTGCGTATAGATTTATGTCGCAAGTAACAACTAGTATTTACAATAAAATAATTATGGCTATAAATCTTTTTCCACATTTTTCAAATGTACATATATAGGTTATTATTAGTTGATCTTTCAAGTCAAGAGCGAATAGATACTACTACTGTCTTAGACCATAAGGGATTGTTAGTGATGTGGACTACTAATCCTATTGCTAGCAATGTACCATGTCAGATTGACTTCCACGCGGTTCCCCCTGGAAAAAATCGTGATATATTCCCTGTGAATTATCACAATGGAATCACTAACCTGACTTCATGTTCATCTTATCATCGAGTAAATTATTGGTGCACCATTCCATTATCATCCAATAAAAAAACAGCTTAGACCACAACATTAACATCTGGTGAGATGAGCGGTCAATTTTAAAAATTCTAATAATACTTTTTTAGGGTCTGGTTTATCGTACCTACTGTGTAGGAACGTTCAGAAAAGCTTTAGAATATTGGATTTGAACTTTTTTCAGTTGCTCTTAACTTTACTTACACTATACACTTGAAAATATATAAGATTATTATTATAAGCTGTTATTTCCTAAATTGTTAATAACTTTATTGCTCATAAATACTACAATAATATACCTAATAAAATAATCTAGTCTTAAGTTATTATCGACCGATATAAAATCTTCGAATTTGGGTAATTATTACCCATGAACAAAACTTTTGATTTTATAAATTTTATTTATGGAATGCATATTGTCGGCAACAGTCATCAACGTGTATATTTTTATGTGCACGGCACCATGAATGTCACGATATCATGTGACGTTCGTACGCCCTTATTTGCAGTCATTATAGAGGACTAATCTATCATTCGGAATCATACATTTTGCAGTAACATTATAGGGTGCAGGTAAATGATTGCTGCTTTGTGACTGAAATAGTTGACACAGAGGTATCTTGTACCCATCATGCAGACTTTCAAAGTGTTTCAAAGTGCAGTATACGTAGGTAGAGAACCAAAATCACCCTATTTTAGTTTACAGGATGCGGGGGAGACCCATTGGTGTATTTAGGTTATATTCGAAAACTACACGAGATTTTCCCTGCAACACTGTTGGTCAGCATATTCTCTATGTATCTATTTTGCTGACTCGGTCTTTCAAGGGATACACTAAGGCAAGGGGATCCACTATAGAAGTGGATCCCCTTGCCTTAGTGTATCCCTTGAAGATAAATATTATTTTATTTGGCAACGATTTTCATTTCTTTAATATCTGCACTTATATGACATTTAACAATGGATTTAAAAATTCTTTTACATAGAGACGAAATATATATTCTAATATTGGAATATCATAGAGCTGTATGGTACAGATAAAAAATCCAATTCACTATTTATTTACAATTTTTACTTATTAGGTACTCGACATGGTCATATGTCTTATTTAAACGGGTTTTCTTTTTTCCTAATATGACTTCTATCGTGATTGACAGAGATTCTCTAATATATTAGAATATAAAGTTAGGTTAATAATTATAATTACTACACCACACCGGGCGTTTGAGAGCAACAGATGGCGACAGCTGATCGACAAGATTATGTAGAGTCGCGATTCTCAACGGTGAGGCAACGATCAAGCAACAATTATTATAAACAGCGTAGCTCTATATTCTAAAGGGTCACTCCCGTGACATGGTGATGCTCTTAAGTGTTAATTAAATATGTTATGCAATACGGATGGACGTTAGGAGAAAATTATTATAGGAGGGGAAAAGGAATTAGTTAGGAGAAATTATCGACCGTTTTAAACTTTTTTCACGGTTGTTTACAATTATATATCTACATGAAATGTTATATTTTGTTTTCGACACAGAGTCGAAATATCAGGAACTCTTAATGAATATTATCGTGGTAAACAGCCTATTTATATAATGTGTAGACATAGAGAGTTGATGTTCTTTGTGTGTTATAAACGAGGATGCATGAATACTATCAAACATTCAGTTACAAAGTTACAAAAGTCATAGGAAACAACAATAGTAAACCATATTGATTAGAAAAAAGACATCTAGGTACATTGCGTATCGTTGTTTGTTACACGCAGAGGAAAAAATAAATAAATAGAGAACCTTCTTTTTTTAGAAGACGGTTGAAAAATAGATTAATTAGGTAATCGACCGGTCTATCGGGTAGGTAAGATTAGACATTTAGACATGACTTTATCCAGCTTGCATACATTTTTATCATCAATAAGTGACGTGCTATTTTATCTTTACATTCAGTATATAAATACGGTTCATTTGCTTACTATTCAAAAAGCAGACAAAAAAAATTGTCATGTGGAAAGCGGGCGCTTTGATTGTAGCGATCGTGTGCGCTAGCGTAACACCTGGCCTCGCGCGCCGTTCTCCAAATGCAGACCTCGTAGAAGAGTACTTCTCGAAAGACCCTGAGTTTGGACGATACTCTAACAATCTTCTGGAGGATGCTTTGCTTGATGTGGTAAGTCATTAATAAAAAAGTAATAATATTAATTAATTTTTATTAAAATTCGATTAGTTATTCTCTGCGGCATGTGTCGAGCCTAATATCGAAACCGTGGTACTCATGGTAATTTTAATAATTTTAATAATGCATGTATTTCTGCATTATTAAATTATAGTTACAAAATCGTTTACTTCTCTTTTAAGAGATTGTACTAAAATTATAATTCAGTTCTGTTCTCTTAATGCTGTTACAGAAAATAGTTTTATGACTTCTTCATCTGATTTTATCTACAAAGGTATATATTTGATTAAAGTGTTATTTTACAGAAATCATTTAGTTTACTTAAAAGATTTCTATTTTTTTAATTACGCTGCTATAGGCATGATTAAGAATGTTTAGGTTTCCGCACTGAATGTTTGTAGTGATTGCTCTCTCACAAATTAGACAATATAGCGGAATTAAACAAAATATGTAATATAAATCCATTAAGTAATATAGTAATTTAGCATAAGTATAAATAAACTATTAGTTACCTCTATAATTTTAGTATATAATTCATTAATGAAAAAAAATGATTAAGTATTATCTCTGGCGACAAATCAATTTTTTTTTCTATATTTTCATCTATCCGTCGATATTTCTATGTCAATGGATAAATTTAGTCGTTTAGTAATAATGGAAAACAAATATCACAAAAAATTTCACATTTTTTATATTAGTTAGACACATTGCCATTTGTTTATTATTGATGTTTACTTTCAGCCTGGTTTAATAGAAAAATATGGGTATCCAGTAGAAATACACAATGTAATTACGGAAGATGGTTATGTTCTCGAACTTCACCGAATTCCTCATGGCCGTGACCAGTACAATGTACGTGACCCAAACAAACCGATAGTCTTAGTTCAGCACGGGCTCTGTTCATCCTCCGCTGATTTTGTTGTTATGGGACCAGGGGCCGCATTAGGTAATTAACATGCAAAGTATTTAATAACATATTATTGCTATTAGGGTCTGACCAAAACTGTATATTGAAAATATTTGTTTTAATTTTTTGTAATTGGAATGGCAAAAGAATCTGACAGAAGAACTTGGTGGTAAACAGTAATCGTCGTTCATTTACATAAACAGCATCGCGGACATCAGTTTACCATTCGTGTTGCCGTTTGAGAGGACTAACAATAAGATGTCTCCTAGTTGTTCTGTAATTTCACTTTTAGCCGGTTTATTTTTAATTTAATTGTTTATTTCAGTTATAGGGTCAGAGTTGGCATAATTATTCTTTATATTAATTGGTTTATTGTTCAAAAAGCTCCCATAATAATGTAATAAATCTCTTATCTATGTGCCAACACCAAGGTCTGGGGTAGAGGTCCGGTTTATTTTGACATAAATATATACGGATTAATTCATATTAATAAATTTTCACTTTTTCAGCTTATATATTTGCTGAGGCTGGATTCGATGTATGGCTGGGAAATGCACGTGGAAACTATTATTCTAGAAGGCATTTGACTTTGGATCCAGATGGTAGATCACTTTTGGGGAGAAATAATTTCTGGGCTTTCAGTTGGGAAGAGATTGGAAGCAAAGACTTGCCCGCAATGATTGATCACATTTTAGAGACAACAGGAAAACCACGTTTACATTACATAGGGCATTCTCAAGGAACCACAGCATTTTTTGTAATGGGATCACTGCGCCCAGAATACAATGATAAAATAATCTCTATGCAAGCCTATGCTCCAGTCGCTTACATGCAGCACAATGAGAATCGGATATTTGGAGCTCTTGCACCTTACTCAAACAGCATTGAGGTAAATAAAAAATAATTTATATCACTTAAATATATATGTAAAATAATTCATATATATATTTAAGTATATTATGAATACAGCTTTTTTTACGTTTTATTTGTTTTAGACTTTTGCCAGTTTATTGGGATTCAACGAGATAGTAGCAAGAAGGCCATTTTATGCTTGGGTGGGACGGAAGTTCTGTTCCGACGAATCTATTTCCCAGATTCTTTGTTCTCATTTTCTATTTTTGGTTGGTGGAAGAAATGAAGATTTACATAATGCGGTAAGTTGATATACCATACCATTATTTAATTGTTGTGATATTGTGTTTGACATAAACCTAATTTTCTATTCTTAAACGAAAAATAATAATTTAAGTTGGTTAAATTTATGTTTAAAGGTACACTATGTAATATCTATATATCAGAATAGTACCTAACCCCTTAACATAAAGAAAACAATACTAGGTAACAAACTATACGCTAAATCTCCTATTACCTACTTTAGAAGATTTAATAGGGCTTAATTTTTACATTTCCTTTGCTAGAATGATTACGCATCTCTAATTTAATACTAGATTAGATTTCTGGTAAATAGTTTAATGCAAGGCAGATATCAAGTATTTATAAAACCATTGAAATATTTCTTAAAACAGCTAGGTGCTTGTACCTAATGATTTTGAATTAATTTGCCACTTAATCAAGTTGTTTGTGTTTTGTTGATTATATGTTCATAGACAGGCAGAAAATATAGAATTAAATCTCTTGGTGTAAAAATTCAGTAGTGACATGACCAACAAGCGGTTACATTGCCTTTCCAACAACAAATATAGTAAATTTATTTAACGAAATTTTCATTTTTCGTAATATTTATTTTCAGACAATGCTTCCTCTTAAGTTAGCACACACACCTGCTGGTATTTCAATCCGACAAATTGCACACTACGGTCAGCTTATCCACAAGGACTACTTTAGGCGGTACGACCATGGCCGCGCATCGAATCTACTTACGTATGGACAAACTAGGCCTCCTCTTTTAGATTTGTCACTAGTTACAGCACCAGTGTATCTGCATTATGCCGAAGTAGATCCATTTGCAGCGTTGCCTGACGTTGAAAGACTTTGGAGCGAACTGGGACGGCCCGCGCAAAAAATTTTAGTCCCACATAAATTCTTTACTCATCTTGATTTCATGTGGGGAACTGAAGCTAAAAATTTATTATATGACAAAACAATTGATATACTGAAATCTACAGGAGATTTGTAAATGCAATAAACCCTTGTTATTTTGTAAGATAAAGACTTCACGATTGTACCTACTTATTTTATATTTTTGTAATAATAAATATATAAATAGAATGAACTCTTTTTAATTAAATGATTTTGAAAATTTTACTTGATGGTTAATACTTTTTTAATACCTTATTTATAAAGAAAAATATTTATAATATTTTATATTGCGTGATTATGAGTTCTATAACTAAAAGCGTTTACGCGCCACATAATATCGTACATAGTCGTAATTGATCAGGCGTTAAGATCTATTCTATTTATGTAAAATTGGTTTACTTCTCCTAGAGACTCAAATGTAGAATTCGACTAAACAAATTAGCGTCGAGAGCGCGATATGAGGTAGAAATTAGAAGGTCCTGACATCAGGGAAACTGAAATTTGTGTTATTGGATGTAATGAATGTGAGTGTGTATGCGTGTGTTATTTCGATGTATATTTTAACAGTTTAGTTAGTGCCACCTCTTGATATATTATTTTATATCGCAATAGTTAAAGAATAATTCGGCAAGTAGGAACATAGTGAACATTAGGTACCTACCTGGCTATGCTCTAATTTAGGCCATTACAGTAGGTAAATGTTTGTGCTAACACGATCTACAAATATACGTGCAATATAATTTAAATTCTTCTTCTAAGGTCTATAAGCAAAAATACAGTTAGTTTTTGCGACGGAATTTACTCAATAATTCATTTATCGGATTAAAATATGTTAACATTTAATTAGGCACTTACACTTTATTAAGTAGATTGTATGGAAACAATAAGTGTCAACTTAAATGATAATTTATATTAATAGAACATACACAGTCTGTAGTGGAAATTAAATTACTGATTAATACTTAGCTTTTATCAGATAGTTTTCGATACGACCTGTCTATATGTGTACTTTCGTATTTTGATAAGGGTAGGTTTGATATTAGACAATAATTACTGACATTTCATATTAAAATTTCCATTATTATTTTATTTCAGTATCTTTACAAGCCACTTTTTTGAGTACAAGTGTCTAGCGTAATAGTAGGTATTAATGCTTTTATCTTTACACATTTTTAGTAACCTACGGTAATAGAAGTTTTGCGTTTTTTCAACATTTGATACAGTCACATTTTCCGACAGTTGAGATCTCTGTGGGCATTTCTAAAAAAACAATAGAGACTTAAGTTTAGCCTATAACTCTATGGTTATCAAGGTTATAGACCCTGAGCATTATTTATAAGCCTGCTTTGTGTCTAATCTACCAATATAGCGATATGTTGCTACCCTGTATATATAGGCGTTATGTGGACAATACAACCCACTTTATGGCTTACCTAATAGCATGTAATTAAAATAATCATCATGCCTTGGGCCTTTACACAATGTAGGGCTTACAATCCTTCAGTAAAATAAAATATATTAAATATAATATGGACTTCGGTTCAGTATAATTTCATATATCGACTAGCTGCCTGGTGGCTATTCTTTTATCACAACAAACCAGGGCACTGACCTCAATCAGTATTTTCAACATCATGTCGATTATTTGACTGTGCGATTTTAATCTATATTTAGTAATCACCATATTTGGACTTGCAGTTCTTCTTATAAATTAAATATTGTGTTCTAGTTGAATCATAATATGTATAACCCAGTCAGCACTACATATTTAGATTTGGGACGTATAGTCCTCACTTCTAATATCTCACTAAATAATCGTTTTTTATTCTGATTATGTGGATAATCATATTTATAAAACAAACAATAATTATAGCCTAGCTCCATTTTACAAACACGTAATACTTAAGTCACATAATATATATATATATATATATATATATATATATATATATATATATATATATATATATATATATATATATATATTAAATAACGAGTCCAGTGGTGGCTATGTATAAATATATATAATCAATACAGTTTAGAGTTTAGTTTAACTTATTAAAAAAATCGTGGTTGTGACGGTTAAACCAAAATTGAATATAAAAATAACGAGTCCAGTGGTGGCTATGTATAAATATATATAATCAATACAGTTTAGAGTTTAGTTTAACTTATTAAAAAAATCGTGGTTGTGACGGTTAAACCAAAATTGAATATAAAAATGAAAGAGGTTTAAATCCAGCCACCCGGGGATACTGAAAAGAGTGATAGTAACAAAATTAAAATAGACTTGAACTAACTTAAGAAGTAATGTCATTCTTGGAGACATTTTTTTTTAGTTTCTTGTATTATTTGAGGTTATTCATTTCTTGTATTATTTAATGTTATTTTACATGAGGTTTTATTTTATTTATTTCTATAGTAGTGTCGCAAGCCCGACTATTCAATTTTTTTTACTTTGAATATTTCCGTTCAAAAGGATTCAGCCTATACAGCCATAAGACTATTCTAATTCATTGCGTGCCTGACAGTACTTGTCACTTAGTGTCAAGTCAATCAAAATGCCAACGAGGTATCTGTCAGTCATTTTACATCGTATGGAATTAATGGATTTATTTGTTGCAGACTTGCATCAAATTTGTAATTTCTTTAAATCTCTGTGTTCCTGTTCCGATGGTCTTGAAAATTGTTATCAATAAAATATTAATGAAGGCACCTAATATTTTTTTATCAGTTGGATTCTAAACATCTGTTTATTGTGGTCTATTTTACATTTCAATACATAAAAATGGACAATTCTATAAAGCTGTGACTCTGTGAGATTTCGGAAATAAAGAGCAGATAAAAAGTGGAACACTCGTATCGTGAATCCGCTTTTGCAGATAAAACCAGTACCGTACAGATATTTTTGTATATTTTTAATTAACGAATCAAAATGTGTGGAGGGTTCACTTGTTCTAAAAATGCTTTAATTGCATTAAATGTACTGTATGTGGTAAGTCTATTCATGTTTTCCACTATAAATGTATAAATATTAATTTAATTGATTGTACTTATATGCATATGTTTGTCTTTGTTTCACTTGTCACTTACACATCTCAATAGTAACATTGAAATGTGAAATTAATAAAAAATTACAGTTACCTAAAATATAAAATAAAAACACATACAAAGTTATTCTCTGAAAAGAATAATTTAGTATCAGTTTTTATTAACCTGAATTTATTTTAAATTAAAGGATATTGGTATTGATATATATAGAATCTATAATAATGTTGCCTACTAATCTGCTTTTTATTACAATTCTTTATGGACATTAAAATACCAACTTTTTCCAAATTACACATATATCATTACTATATGTTTATCATAAGTATTATCTTTGGGAATGCTTGGTTGTAAACAACCATTTAAAAAGGTGAATAACAAAGCTTTAATCACAGATTAATATTTTTAGTATTGATATCTTACTACCCCATCTGAGTTAACATTAACAATAGTGTATGTGTATATTGTGTATATCCATAAAAAATGATACTTATAAAAATCTATTGCTTGAAAAAAATAGTTTTGGATGTTTTAACAATTACATTTTATCACAAATGTTTATTGTCCATGCCATCATTTAGTGTTTGGCAGCTTGTTTAAGTTAGGCTGCATTATGTCCATATGTATATGGATCCTATATGATACACTCCATCTAGTAAGCACTTGGTATACATGTGAAGTGGTTGTCATATATTTTTAGTCACAATCTGTTCATTTGTTGTTACACACTGATTAACACTAAATAATACTACATATAAGTACTTATAAAATATCTATAGTTTGGACATAATTTAAATTTTATGAGTTTATTAAATAATGTGCATTTATTCTGAACTGCAAATACTCATATGCATATTGCATAATTTATACTTGTAAATTATGCACTAAATACTTTAAATATGTGGTTCATAAGTAAGGTAAACTTAAACCTTCATGTAAAATTAAACCCAGCGAAAGCAAAGAAGCAAAATTGGACAAAATAATATTTTTCTCATTTTTCATTTACAAAAAAGAACTATTCAAGCAATGGTACATGTACTACCCTGGGGATCTTGCAAAACATATTTTGCTTAGCTAGAAATTTTAACTCTACCTAGCCTGTATTTATTAGTACTTTTACCAGACTTGAAAAAAGATATGATTAAAAATGAAACTGTGGAACACACACAGACACACGCAGAAGACAAGGAAAAGAAATTTGAAAGATTACCTTTCAAATTTCTTTGTTTCTTAGTCCTAAAGTAGTGGAGCACTGTCCATAATATCAAGCTATACAGCTTGATATTATGGACAGTGCTCATGTAATAATTTGTCCGATGGAGAATGCCCGTGGATATAATGGACATTCAAAGCATGTCAATGTTCAAAAATAAATTTATGTTATGGTTACTGAACAAAAATAATAATAGGGCAAATCAATATTTTTTATGAATTTATATTTATGTTGAAACACAATTATATTCTTTATATGAATAAATGACTATGACTATGACTAATCAGCCTCTATGTATCTTGCATATATGTTTATTAAATCCATTCATAAATCTTTTATATTCAGGTGGTAGCATCTATCCTGATCTCAGTGGCAGTATATGGACAAGCATCATCTGTGGGTGGTAATCTGCCCATAGTGGGTGGAATCCTTGCCTGTGGAGTTTTTCTTATTTTAATATCATTGTTGGGATTGGCTGGAGCTGTGAAACATCATCAAGTGATGTTATTCTTTGTATCCTTTTTAAATAAAAAGAGCAAATAAAAAGAGAAAGAATATGTAATATTTATACTATAAGCAAGATCAACAAAATTATTTGACAACTGACTAATGTTTATGATTACAACATATAAAATATTGGATAAAGATGAAACATTATATTTTCCATATAAATTGTTTTTGTTATCAAACCTAATAATAATATGATTGATAATAATAAGATGATAATAATATGTTGAGTATGTTCATTTGGAATGGTTTCATAATGATTATCATGATCACTGTTGTAACATATTACAAAATATGCATTCAATGTTTATATGAAATACTTGTAATCATAAACTTCACGCAAACTTTGGTAAGGACCAGATAGAATCCTAGTCTCTTTACTTACATTAATATAGACTGACAATGAGAATGATAACTAAGTTCGATTTTATTTCTAAAGAGACTATACTTTCAGGGCATAATATACATTACCTAATAGATGTTGTACCTTGGCTATCTAAACACATAGATAGCAAAGGAGGCGATTGTTAGTAATGCAGATCAATGGTCTAGTTGGTAGTAATGTATTCTGTCGGATCGATTTCCGCGCGGTCGTCTCTGGAAACCGATAGTTTATAATGAGATCAAGTAATTACAATGGAAACATCTAAATGCTTCTTGGTTCCATTAATAAATATTGGTCACACGGAAGAATGATTTAGTATACAATTACAATGCCGCCAATATAAGGCAGATTAGTATCGACTTTACTTTCCCTAAAACCTAATAATTGTACTTTTTTCTCTCATACAACATTCTAGGGGTGAACAGTAATATAGTACATTACAAACAATACATTGTTTTCTTACTCCGTCATAATACAGAGTACAGTAGTAATATGATTAATTGAAATAATTTCATTAACAATAACATCAGTACATGGTGATTCTATTTCTTCTTTTCCTGGTTCAGTTTTCTGTTGCGTGTGCTTGTCTTGCTGTCAACTCTGACCAACAGGAAACAATTGCTCAACAGGTAACAATATTAATAACTTTTACTACCGAATTCTGGTAATGTCTATATTGTATGTCGATTTTGAAAAGCAATGAAACAAAATACTTAGTTTACGAATGATTGGTTATTTTTTAACAGGAACATTTTTTTATAGTTTGCATGTTATTGTGTCTATTTTGTAGGTCTCCAATAAAAAGTATATAGATATTATTATTTTATTATTGGTTTTTAAATAATATAGGTATTCTTTTTATATTAAGGGTTGGAAAAAAGTGAACAAGGATGTAAAGGAACAGGTTCAAGAAAGATTCCAGTGTTGTGGCTTCCAATCCAGTATACAACCAGTGAATAGCACTGATGATAATCCTTCTTGTGAACTTGTTCATGTAAGTATACAACTGTCATTGCATACATATTTATTTCTTGAGACTGTAAACAGTATCTATCTGTATTTTTTAGTAAAATATCTTGTCATGCCATTAAAGTTGCCATAAGTCGTATAGTTAACTGACCAGATGATATATTATTATGATTGAGAAGTCATTGAAAAATAGTGTACTGTTATATTTTAGTAATGGTAATGGTTTTTGTTTTAAACTATAATTCATAAATTTTATGAGTACTCCTTATACCTTTTGTTCCGCTTTAATTAATATTTATTTTTTTCTTAGTTTAATATTTAAATATTGTATTTTCCAGAAAATATGTTGTAATAATATGCACAACGTCCCTAACTGCAAATGTGAGCCTTGTATGGAAAAACTAAAGGAAACTATTGATAATGCATTCAAACTGTGTGGTGGGATTGGATTATTCTTCAGTTTCACGGAGGTATGTTGGTCGCAATAAAATGACTCCTTATCGATACATTTATAGTAGCTATCTCATATGTAGATAAAGCGATGAATTAGAACATTATACAAATATGCGTAACTGGGAAATACATAAAAATTTCCTTAAATAAACCTTATCATGTGTACATAGCCAAAATAATAATTACACTGAGACGTAACGAAGAATACAGAGATACCAGTGTCTTATTATTTACGAAGATTAAAAAAAGCAGAACCATAATAGTAGATTTTTTTATTATTAATATTAGTTTCTATTTATACAATTCCCTTCTGCTTCAGAGTGCACCTGCTATTGTAACTTATATTTAGTATAGTGTATGGGCACGAATATAATTACTTACTGTTGATTTTAAGTAATAATAATGTGCATTTCCGCAGTCTGTGTTAAATCAGACTTTCCAAATATTTATTATTGCAATTATTTAAGCATGGAATAGAATGAATAAAGAAAAAAGTTGCTGATTCAAAAATTCTTTTTTAACCTCTTATTTTTTATACAATTACAATTTAAATTATAACTTAATGCATTCAAATGTGAAAATTCAAAAATTTAATTAAATAAGTATATAATACTTCTATGTAGAAATGAAAAACACATAGCTTCAGATTTATGTTCCTGTGGGAAATGCATGCTGTTAATATCTATTCGCAGACAGACATGTTAATGAATGGAAGTAGTATTATCTAATGTTTGCTCATGGGACCATGAGGGACCATTCATCAACTACCTGTCATGGATTATAGCGTCATCTACTTCCGAATTCATCTTTTTATTAAATACTTGCTTTGTACTGAAAGAGATAATTGTATAAAATAGTTGTTTTTTGTAACTAAAATACATTAAGTCTGCTATTAACAATTTCATTACCATAGTACTGCGCAGAACAGTAAAACTAGCTATATCGGCGAAGTACATTAAATAAATTGCATATGAACATTTTATGCAAAGAAATTAGCACATACTGCAATTGCAACGTATTATTGTTATACAATGATAAAAATGCAATTTGATCAGTATATACTTTGAGTGCTATGGCTATCCTATCTGTATTGTTTGGCTCAGGCTTTTAATTGTGTTGTTATAAGTGTCGAAAATTAATGTAAGTAAAGGGAATTAACAATGTTTTGTGTTATTTAAAAACCTGGCATATAACAATAACAGAATAATGTACTATACTCTGTACATACATACAATTTTACATCCTGTGCCTGTTGTAAATAGTTGCTGCTTTTGAGTTGGTGTCTCAATTTCTGCCTTAGTGACTAACAGATGGCCGATTACTTTACAGTTTCTGGGTGTATGGTTGACAGTAAGATATCGTAACCAAAAGGACCCGCGAGCTAACCCCAGTGCATTTCTGTGAATTAACTGATGATTGGGACTTACAGCATTTTATCACTTGAGGTGGATTGATGTTACGCGTCTGTCATTTGCTTAGGGCTTATGCCAAAACCGCGGGACGTCCAGTGAGAGCAGTCATATAGAATAACTTTATTGGTGAATGTCTAGCGAGTAGTCTTCCATACTTGTTACGTATTTAGGTTGAAGTTAGCGCCCGAGTAATTTTAATATTGTGTGTTTGATATTGCCTTCACTACGCGGTGAGGTGCGTAAATTGCAATCTCAAATATTATGATTACCAAAATTCTTGTTTCAACATTACTATGGTCTCATATTGACGTCCTGCGTTGCATGCGCAAGGTTCCACGCAAGTGTCGCTACATGTTATCTAACACGGTCATGCATGAGGTGTTTTTAATAAAAAAGAATTTAATGCTTGTCAATCATTTCATAACATCTATTTTAGCATCATATCGTTTTGTGTGTAATTTATTCATTACAATCGCTTTATTATGCGTGAATATGTGTTATAGTACATTAATGTAACAATATTGTTTTATCCATATTCTGTTTAGTTCTTCCTATCATAATTATGATGTTTATAGTTTTTGATAACTATTTGATATTTTGGCTGCCTATATAGTAGAAGTTGAAATTTTGTTATATATAATAGGGTTTGTCTGCCCATACCTATTATAATAGTAGTAGTACATGCAGAAGATTTTAATTAAAAGTTTTAACATGAAGTGCTTGATGACGCCTAGCGGCTGAGAGGCTCTTGTTTACAATATTTCGGTTGCTCAGGTATCATCACAGTGTGTAATTATAGAAGAAGAATTGGGGCTGTTGACGCTTTTCATATAAATGTATTGTGTATAGAGGCATGTTTTTTAACCAAATTCCATTGCTCGATGTATTTTGCAGCATGTTTCATATAATTGTGCATCTATTTGTATAACTTGTATATTTAATCTATGTATATCTGACTTAATTTGCAGTTATTCGCAGTCTGGCTTGCTCGGCGTTACCGCAACCAGCCGGACCCTAACTACAAGGAGCCACATGCTGTATTCCCTAGGCAAAATTACCTTTACTGAGTGTCATTCCCTGTATTCCAATTAGTTAACTGCGTGTAATGATTTCCTGTGATTCTCTTGACTGATGTACTCTATTATGTACACGTGTTTATGTATTTATTAGCTATTTCGAAATGGAGTCATGAACTATTCCTATAATATGAATCAAACTAAATATCATAAAACCATCAGTCTAGTTTAATTTTATGGGGAAACTTAACTAATCATGACAAAAATGCTATAGACTGGTTTCATCGTCTTTGATAAAAAAAAAAGAGTTACAGAACAAAAAAGTACGTAGATAGTGTCGTAAGTTAAAATATAATATGAGCGATATAATAGGAACGCAGTTTTGTTTCGTTTCGGACGTATTCTATAAATGTATTGTATTGGTTGGTTTAGGAATAGTATTATATCAATACATAAATATTTGCTCAATTTCTTCACTGATTCATGGAATTGTAAAAATAGCATCATTCTTGTAAATATTATGTCTATACTTGCACAATTTCATCAAGTGACACCTTGGTAATATATTTTATTATTTAGAAGTACATTACGTTACTGAATATAGGATGTAAAAACTTGAATACCATTGACGATTTAATTTTAATAAAATATAGGAAAATATTGTACTCAGTTTAGAAATCATCAAATGAGAATATTTTTGGAACACGATTCTTAAAATAATATTTTATAGTGTAATTTGATCACCGTTACGTATTATAAGATCAAATTTATCAAATATTTGTCAGGTTTACAAATAATTACGTTACAGTAAAAAATTATTTACAATCATAAGTAGTTCCAAGTGTGTTATTTTCATTTAAGTATATCTATTGCCAATGAAAACAGGAAATCTGATTAAGTTAATATTAACAAGTAATTATATGAGGCTCGATTTATCGTGATTTTTAGTGAATATTTAGAAACAATTAATTAGTGTGCTCGTTACTTTTATTCTATCGCGATATCCATTATGAGGTATTGTAAGTAATTTGAGGACCTATTTCACTGGATCTCAGTGCTTTTTTTCTTAATACTATACAATTTAACTATTGCATATTCTTGCGAGTCAAATGAGATGTTGTACGTTCATCTACTAGTCAGTAGTATAATTATTTTAGCATAATATTGCTTTAAACGCTCCTTTACTTAGCATTATATCCTGGGTATCTTCCATGTATGTTAGTAAAAATCTATCATTAGCCATTGGTATGTAATGCATTATTGTGAGCTGTGTGTTTCTATATAGTATTTTTTTTATCCAGATAATATCGACATAGAACTAACTGGTCAAAACTGAATTTAAACCTGAAGAACTGATAACAAGGCTATTCTATTCTTTTGAAATAGAAATTTGCCTATTGCCATATTGTATATGGTAACACGTCTCCACAGCACTTAGGATAATGTTGAAATAATGAAACGGACAATTGTATAATTTTATACATCTATTTAGAAAATTGTTTCAGACATTGAAGACTTTTATCATATATAGTAAAAGGTGCTTATTATTCTAAAGTTAATTACTTTTGTGAGTTAGCTGATTTCCTCTTCGCTCGATTGAAACTTTCTTACACTTGTCATAAAATTTGATGAAATGAGATAAGAAATGAATTTGTGAATACAGTGCTCTAGTGACATTTGTTCAGGATTAGAATTATTTAAGGAAATAATTTTAATTTGTAATTTGATACATAGTTGTAGGTTTATTTTACACACTAATGACGTGCTTCAAATTTTAGCTTTAATATTATTTTTTCTACAACTATATACCTACAATTTATTACTTGGTAAAAAATCCTTAATGGATATTTACCAAGTAATAAATTGTATCAAATTAAATAAATTGAATCATATTTTAGATAATGTTTCTGTTTATTCTTATATATTAAACTATTAAATTTAACCGTTCCTAAAGTACATTTATGTTACAATATAATTTATTGAGAACCTACCTGCAAACGCATCCTTAAATGATTTCTTTTTATATTACATAATATTAATTAATTTAAAGGTACAAAAAGATATATAATAATTTACAAACTCACTGTTAGCTATGTAATAAAATATTGATGAAATTAAACTATTCTTAATAATTGTAATGTAATCATATCAACTGCTGTAGATAAGGTCTTCAATCTTTACCATTATGACATATATATACTTAGTTTTTTTCTCACAATGTACAGTGTACCTGTTGATGTTCATGCTATTTACTTCTGAAATAAAGTGTGTAAGCATTGAATTAAGCTCGTTTCATTACATTGTCGCTGTGTTTGTTGAGAATTAGGGAAACAATTGTGTTGACTATAAAAGTAAAAAAAATTATTTCAGATATTTTTTCAATTTACCCGACATGTTAGGTACACCATTTTCTAAATGAACTGTACTTAGTATTTTGTTTTCAAAAAACATGAAAATCTGAGTTACATATTCATTTTTTGTTGCAATTTTTTTATTTATATCTAATATGTCTTGAATAATAATTAATGAAGCATTTTGTATTAAGTACGCGATTACATAGTGATCTCTATGACTCCATCCGCGCCTTGTCTTATCTTTTCTTTCGGTTACTACAAAGCGTAGTATTAGAACGCTAGTAATATTAGCGCAAAGTATTAGCAACCAACATCATCATCAGATGGACAGATTTAGGTACATTGTGGATAAATAGGTATATAAATAATAGTTAGGTCTATCTAAGTAATTAACAATTAATAACTTTTTTATTAAAAAAAAATTTTACCTATCATTAATATAATGAATAGACTAAAAAATGTTGGTTATAGCTTTTATTAATTTTGTAGAGTTGTTTTTTTAGCGCTATTTATTGGAACTATACAGATACCTCTTGAAAATACAAACTATTTTCGAAAAAAAAAATCTTTTCCTTATCCTTACAATGTGTAGTTATAACTGTACATAGTAGATACATCTACTATCAAGCGGCAGTGTCCACGCGCAAAGCCTCTGCGCAAGTGTCACGTCCCGCCCGCGCCCTGTCGAGGCTGGGTGGGAAACCCTTGTTGACAGCAAACAGTCGCCCTTAGCCTGTTTTTGCCGTAACACCCATCGATCCACGCCGTTTTGTACAACGAATATCGGTCAGAACGTTAATTCTTAGATATAGTGTGTAGTGTCAGTGCTGCTTACGATGTCCTTCGATAAAGATGAACTCCGTGATGAGTAAGTACCACACGAATCACCAATGTTAAATGATTTTTTGTCGACGCCCGATGTCTGCATATTGGGTAGGTACTAACGATATGGTTAAGTAAATTAATTATTTGTCAATAGGGATAGGCATCTACCAGACCCTTAATTATCTAAAAAGACTTAAACACTGACTCATGTAGTCTTAAATTTAAATTACCTAGTGCATTAGATACGTACATTTCCTACTTAAAAAATATAATTATAAAAGGTGCTAGGCAAAGACTTTCGGTAAGTATTATTATACATTTAACTACAACTTATAGATAATATGCAATAGAAAAGAGCTACAGGTATGTTACGTGCCTAGATGCCTGCTATCTAGCTAGAACACGGCAACCTTTGAAATGACAAAGAATAAAGTGTTCTATCACAAACATTAATCCTTACTAACACCCAATACGCGTGGACCTCCCCATCTATTGGTAACCTAATTTTTCTTGTAGGTACTCGTGTTAAAATAAGTATTCTTACCACGTAGCCTGTGTTAGAGATCCGACTTGACATTTAATTTCGTATCTCAATAATATTTATTTAAAAAACGGAGGATGTATCAGAATTAAACTTAAGTATTTACTAAAGTTATAAAATTATTATACATCAAATATTTTATTAGGATAAAAAGTGATCCAGTTATGGGACGATTCTCGTTTCATTCGATATAATCGGGAAATCGAGATAATGTAAGCTTGCCGTTGAGAAATAACTGATTCGACATTTTGAGAAACGAACTTGATTTTCACTTGGAATAATGTTATGTTCGACTTTCTTTTGAATTCGCGAGAACGGCACCATAATCTGGGATTTACCGCAACCAATTTTATTGAAAGGAAAGATGAAAAATTCATTTCTCTACACTAGTCACATGTTATTTACAATGAATAATGTATTAATTGGAAAATGAAATTAATCAGTAGGTACCATACACATTATACACACTAATGAGTGGAGTGACGCCATTTATGGTAAAAAGTATATCTTGGGCCGCTGTGTCAAACGTACGCTGTGGTAAGAACCCATACGGTTACGCTCTTTATTTTGTGTTATGGCGTGTCACACGACTGCTCATAGAGTACCTACCTATTCAAATAAGGTTTTGTATCGTGCCCTTATATCTATTGTGTGCATGGGCCAGCGGGGAGGGGACTGGTAAATCTATATGCTTTTCTATGAAATATTAAGTGTTACAATGCGTTAACATATATATATATATATAAGCTGCGGCCAAGTCATCTCATGTATTGATTCCGAGATCATTAAACGGAAAGGTTCAGATACTAATAATATTTTCGTTACGTGTCGTCTTTAGAATTGACGGAGATACATATACCTATCTATAATTTTTCTAAACAAGAAGTCTAACAACTTATCATGAATGTAGGCAGCTGGTAAAATCCATACAATGTTGAGTTAACAAAAGAGAGGTCTCATTTTAATTAATACAAACTTACTTGTGAAATTCTGCAAGCTAACAAAGGTTTGACGGTTACGGCAGTTGTGCAACGACGCCGTCGGCCCTTTTATGCTATACAAACGTCTTTTGTTGATTCGCCCTGTTGATCTAATGAATATAAAATGATAAAGGAATAAATATAAATTCGTGGAAATAAAGCATGTACAAATTGCTGTATTTGATATAAAATGGAGGTGAGTATCAAGGTATATTCCAGTGTTTACGAATAACCATAATTACCTAGTAGGTGTAGGTATGTAGGTACATACTATTGTAAGAAAGTAAAAATTGAACAATGTAATTACTTTTATTGTTTTTGCACAAACATCGCGACATTCGATACATTACCTAGTCGATATATCGAAACTCGTTTAGAGTAACATATAAGAATACTTGTAGATGTAGAGATAGAATTGGATTAATCTTACTAAAGCTGAGGTGCCTGCGAATGTGCTATAGGCTGTATATTTAAGGCGATTTGTAATCGATCTCAAAATACGTATATTTCTGCTTACAGCAATTTTGATATAAGGTACCTGGGTCGAATATGGCCACGTTAAGGTTTGACACAATAACGTATTTTATAACAATGAAAAGATACAAATAAATATTTATTTGATAACGTATTTATTTAGGTAGGTAATATATCGCGGGCACGGAAAAACCTAGAAACGGATAGGTTAGAATTTGTGTTAATTTTTTTAAAAGTTGGGAATATGGCCATATTTCCGACAGTGTATGTGAATATGGCCAGGTGATGGCCATATTAATAGTATGAACTGACTATCAAGGTAATTTCTATTTGCAAGGGAACTTAGTGCTATAAATAAAATTAATTTATTGAAACAACATGTTTTATCTAATATAGGAACAAAAAAAAAGACATCTCAGAACAAAAATAATCTTTTACATTAGTAATTAAGTAACTAATTGCTGTAATAACACAATTTGAAACCACATTATCTTAAGTTTGCACTCAGTCTGAATCTTAATATTTCAGTCTTCACTCGCATTTCACGCAAATAAAGATTTCTTTATCATTGGATGTAATGTCCAACACATTCTTTATGGACGTATGAAGCACATTTGATGCAAAGTCTCATGTCGGCGACTTCATCTCTATCACAAACAAAACAATACCAACTTTCTTGGGTACGAGACGCCAGCTCCTTTTATTTCTGATTACTAAGAAGTGCTTTCCTTCCTAATTTGGATTTACTTTTCTTTTTCTCTGTAAGATATCGTCGAAGTGTTCGTCTGGGAACTTTAGTGTTTGGCAGCAGATAAACCCCCGCAACAACCTTCATTTCACCAATTTTGAAGACTGCTATTGCTGATTTCATATCAGATTCTGACCAATTTCCTCTGATCTGTTTTGTATGTATGTATCATGGAGCCATATTCTGCAAGGAAAAAGAAATAAATAAAATTGAGAAAAACAACAACAAAACAAAGCAGTAGGTGCCCAAAATATGGCCACTGGTCATATTTTCAGTCGTACTCGATATTTCACTTAAAAGATAAAAACTAATACTATACAAAAGGAAGCTTGAGAATGAACATATACATATGAAGTATGAATACTAATGACAAAAATAGATTAAATGCTCTTAAGTAAAAGTCAACAAAAACAAAGAAAATCATCGAAGCTTACAAGTGAATATTTGTATCCGTGAGACGTGGTTTCACTTCGACTACCATTGCGTGGCTAACGGGGCTGCAGGGAAGATGGCAGCGACGCCTGAGCATTACTCACACATAACGTATATAAATAAAACTAGCTGTACCCGCGACTTCGTCCGCGTAAAATAGTGAACTTGACTAAATAATGAAAAAAATATTTAATGATCTAACCCAATAAAAGCCAAATGAAAAAGTTTCATCATTTCATCTTCAAAAATGATACTTTCATACATAACTAACATACATAACTCTTTCAACCCCTTATACTTCTTTTCTTAATATATATTTAATAATTAGGCTAAAAATTAAACTTCAAGCTTCTAGCTTTAAAAACGACAATATTTGCATGTAAACATATGACTCTCTTTTAAATTCCTTACAACCCATTTTTCTTTATTTATATTTAATCAACAGCCTAAAAATCAGTTTCAGGCTTCGAAAATGGCGATATATCTATACAACCTTGCACCTTTCAATCCCCTTACAACCCTTTTCCACAATAAAAAATAGGGTCTTCTAGATTATATGTTCTAAATTTCATTTAAATCGGTTCAGTAGTTTTGGCATGTAAGCGAGATCGAGAGTTATAATATTAGTGAGGTATATAATAAATAAACCCAAAAAAGCCAATGAAAACAGTTTGATCGTTCTAGTTTAAAAAGTCATGAATGTACATAAAAATTTTGATCCCCTATTTTATTGTACACCCTTAAGGGTAAAATTATTACAAACTATGAATCATCATCTCATCATCTTATATTTTAGGTTGGTCAATCATCACCAACCTAAAATATAAGTTTCAAGCTTCTAGCTTTAAAAATGACGATTCTTAAGTACAACCGTGTTTTTTTAACGTCAGGAATAAATCTTCGTAGAGGCCCACCGGCTTAGGGGCCAAATGGGGACTGCCGGATTCATATCGGCCAAAAACCTGACGACTATTCCTCCTCGAACATCGGTTAGCCGCAGCGCAGTACCAGCAACGTGGCGATGGCTCGACACATCTCGCGGTCTTGTGGCCGCCCTGACCACGGCGATAGCACCTATCGCTGCAGTCTTCCCCTGCAGTACACCGTTGGCCTACGTGTCCCCTGAGCAAGCACCTTACCTTAATCCGACCCGCCTGGATTAGGGTTTAGGCTGCTGCAACCGGGCATCGCACCCAGTTTGAGCCCACGCCGGAGGGAGTGCACCGGACCTCGCCCGCCTGTATGCTTGTATCCGCGCATCCTCCCACTCGCGGCAACGACGTTCTCAGATGTTACTGAGTCGTCCAGATCACATAGTCTCAGCTCAGCCGATTTCTCCGGCCTGGTGACCCGGACCTTTTCTACTGGCAAGATCACTAACCTTGCGGCTAGTGAGTTCGCTTTGTCGCCGGCGCCTGGCACTTTTAGGTTGCGACATCCAGTCACACCCAGCCAGAACCGTAGGTCGGACAACCTCGTATGCATGGCATGTACCCTTTCAACCCCTTATAACCCTTCTATCGCTTCCAAAAGTATCCTATGTGCTTTCTCAAGATCTAGACTAATTGTGTACCAAATTTCACTTATATCTGTTCAGTAGTTTTGGCGTGTAAGTGAGACTGACAGGCAGACAGAATTACTTTTACAGTTATAATATTAGTAAGGTATTTAATAAACTAACTAAATTCAATAGAAAAGTTTCATAGATCTGGCTCCAAAAATGGCGAATTTACCTAAAATCTTTCATCCCCTATTTTATTTTACCCCCTTAAGGGTAATTTTATACAAATTTTGAATGTCATATTCATTTATATTTAATCAACAGCCTCAAAAATAGGTTTCAAGCTCCTGGCTTCCAAAAAGACGAATTTACATAAAAACTTTCATCTCCTATTTTATTTAAGCTCTTAAGGCTAACATTTTTATAAACTTTGATGGCCTATTTATTTATATTTAATCAACAGCCTCAAAAATAAGTTTCAAGCTTCTAGCTTCAAAATGACGAATTTACAATAAAACTTTCATCCCCTATTTTATTTTACCCCCTTAAGGGTAATATTTTTATAAAATTTCATGGCTTATTTATTTATATTTAATCAACACCCTCGAAAATAAGTTTCAATCTTCTAGCTTCAATAATAACGAATTTACATAAAAAATATCCCCTAATTTATTTAACCCCCTTAGGGGTAACATTTTTAAAAACTTTGTATGTCATATTTATTTATATTTAATTAGCAGCCTCAAAAATAAGTTTCAAGCTTCTACCTTCAAAAATGACGATTCTTCCATACAATCTTTCAACCCCATACAACCCTTTTTTCGCATTAAAAAGTATATGTCTTTTCTCAGGGTCTACACTATCTGTGTACCAAATTTCATTTAAATCGGTTCAGTAGTTTTGGCGTGAAAGCGAGACAGACAGACAGACAGAGTTAGTTTCGCATTTATGATATTAGTAAGGAAGTAAGGATTTTAAATGGCGCCATAGTTTTGGTCCTGTAGGGGTATAGTCATATTTTCAGGCTGGTCATATTCGACCCAAGGTACCTTATATGTAAAAAACATAATAATTGATACCTATTTGATACCTGTAATAGGTATCAAGTATTATGTTTTAAGTTATTTATATATCAAAATTTCCCGATTCTTATTTAACTTTATATTGAGCTAAATAATAAATAAGAACAATATATTTGTAGAAAGATTATACAAATGTAACAACGGAACGACCATGAAGAACTCAATTGTTGTAATGTTATCGTTAATAACAATAACTGCAATATGATCTTGGTTACTTCCAAGTACCTACTACCTACGCAGTCGTTCTGTTAAAATCGCTTGAGTGTTTGCTAGGTTTCTTTTATTGTACAGTGTGTAATATCACGATAGTTCGCGGCCAATGGATGACGACTTCGCACGTTATGTCAGACGACATTCAGTTGCGTACGATTCATCATTCCAACGTATGTTATTGCTATTAATTGTGGTAGTAAACTACTCGGTATTTGAAAGCTGATGCGACAGTACGTTATAAAGAGTCAGTGCTTGTTCTGTGTGTGATTGTTGTTTATTTATTTATGGTATATGGTGAAAATATTTCCGCGTAATATTTGTGCTTGAAAGTAAGTAATACAAGGACTACAAGGACAACTACATAATATATATAATTAACATTCAGAGATTTTATTTGCGATTTAGCTTTTAAAGAAAACAAGAGACCATAAATGTTTTATGTTCAGGTATAACAAAATTTAATGACATGTTATGTACAAATATTATTATATAAAAAGTCTTTTAATAAGTATGTAGTAATTTTAGCTATAATATAGTAATAGAATTAATGTAGTAAATAATTCTTGTACTGACTATTTATAGGCAGAAAAAATAATGTTACTAATAATTTACATTTAGGAATCTGTCATTTGCCTTGAAAAAGTACCTAAAGTATGAAACTTTTTTACTTAATTGCATTATTGCTATATTATGCGTAACTACTTCCGTAAAGCAAAACTGCCGAATCCGATTTTAAATATTCATTAGTTTCAAACAGTGACTATGGAAGTTTTGACGTTTTGAGTTTTACGATTGACCCTTGGGTCAATCGTTTATTTATCAAATAATATTCTATGTCTAAGTAAAATATAGAATAGAATTAATCTACATTCTAGATACAATATTTCTACGTAAATCAAGTTGGGTCGTACAGGGTCATAGGATAAACTACAAATTGAGCATGATTTATTGTGCTAATAAGTGACATTTGGTTACAAATATAACAATAAAAAACATAATAAATTAAAATAGTTAGAGGAATATTTTTATTTTGTTTTCGGGTATGGCGAAAGCCAAAAAGAAGAGAAAGGAAACCCCTATTTTAGGGTATTTCGCCAGACAGGAATATTAAAAATACGTAGCTATTTTTATACCCAAATATATAGGTATAAACAAATAGATTAAATTTTTAGCAATGTCAAATCAAAAACATAAGATAGGTTTATATTTGGTACTATAAATTATTAATTTACACTTCTGATATAAAATATATCCATTTTTTGGTTGAAATAGGATATAAAAAATAACGGTATTGTATTAATTTTATTTATAAAAGAAAATATACAGCAGTTTCCAAATTTGATATCTTGGAATCTAGGATTTTGAGTTTCAGTGTGTGTCTATAATCGATATTATTACGACTACTGAAGATCCTTATGAAAAAACTGGATTATTTGCAATAGATGTGTCATATATCTACGTAAAAATGTCTGACGTAACTATTTTATAAATAAGTTTATTTTTTTATCAATAAATTTTATTATTCTTCTTTTCCCTAAATTGTCAGTGACATGCTCATAAAATATTCCAGTAATTTTGTTAGGTACAACAACACCTTTACAAACAACTTTTCTGCAATTCGTTATCATAAGCAAAATTGTCTGTTAGTAAAAAACACTTATTGCTCACTTATCATGGATCGTGTAAACATAATAGATACTTAGTGTGTATCACCTTTGACATATCGCAGCTGCAACTCTCAGTTTATTCACGTATATTTGTCAACTGAAATGACTTAACATAACCTTGAGCGGATTATTTGTTTGTAAATAACGCGTGTGGTTTTTCTGAGTTAAACTTGAGTGTCAGATAGCTATCTATTGATAATTTTTACCAAATAAATATAATAAGATGAATCATGTAACCTTATGTTAATAGTTAATGTCCACATGAGACAACTGAATATTGAAATAATAATTTTCCGAGATTAGATATGTGTCTTCCAATTCATTGCATTTAATTTATTTCTAAACCAGAAATATAAATTATTTATTCAGCAGGTTCAATGGAGTGGTCACTTCTTTCTATATATGTTCAATTATATATCATGTAAAATATATTTCTAACTCTTCTGTAATAGAAACACGAAAAATAAACCAAATTAATCAAATACGGCGGTATACTTATTCCCTGAGGGTTTGAATGGCTGTCCGCATGCATTCAAATCCTCAATTAGTAAGGAGGAAGTCAGGTATTTTCATATGGACGTCGGTAGTTTAGAATACATGCGACTACCCGATTTGTGACCAACAGTCGTGAAGATATTTTTTATTATTTGATATTGCCTGATTAGTTGACAATGCCGTGTAACTGCGAAATGGATGCGGCAAGTGGCTGCAGAGAACATAATGTTGCGTGCGAGGCGAAGCTGGATAGTTTACCTGGAGAGCTCAATGAGCGTCGTCCGCACAGGAGAACGTATGACGCCGACGAAACCGAACCTGTTGCCGATAATGAAGAATATATTGTTAGGTTATTTATTTTTATTTTACTTTTTCTTTATGGTGCTGGAACTACGTTCATTTTTTTGGCCATTTACATCTGTAGGTTTTACTTTCGTGAGTACCTGAGTAGTAGTTAAGTATAAATACTTAGACGGACAGGACCTATACCTATATTTAGTTAGGTACGCACTAAGTATATTTAAACCTCGGAGCTGCAGATTACAGAAATGTCATGTTTTTTCTTTTTTTAAAATTTAAGCAATTTGAATTAAAATGAACAGAATTCGGTTCTAATATTAGGTAGAGCCTTAAATGAAAGGTGAGAGTCATAAAAGAAATGAGTAGATATAACGATGTAAAGTATGATGATGAGACACGTAGGTATAAAGTATGATAGACATACATATGAGTGAGTAGATAGACAATACAACTAGCTGTATGAAAGCTAGCTCTGGTTCTAGTTATATGAAAACGACCCGTTTCACTACTAAACTCATGCATTGATTGTACAAAAACTATTTATAGATGTCGAACTCACTACGGTATTAGAATGCTATCTGCAATGCTGTTTTTATCTATACAATTATAAATTTTGTTAAATCAAGTAGACGATTCAGAACAGATAGTTAAAATATAGTTTAGGATATAAAAGTCATGATTATGTGCTTTAGCTATCTATAGGATATAAAAGGGTTAGCTCATATATGTTATGTAAAACCTGCCATTGAACATGCACCGCTGCATTATGTAATTCTGTTGATATGAATTCTCGTTAGCAGCAGATTAAAATTAAACAATTAGCAATGTAATAACAAATAATAGTTACGATAAAGTTAACATGCTCAGTGTCGTGATCCTAAACATCTTAATGATAAACCTTTCCGTTACTTTATTTGAAAAAAATATTACTAAATCCTAAATTAAATAATAGTAATATAGAATAAGGCATATACTAACAAATTAACCTGCATATGAATGCACTAATTGTTAAATTTTAATCAAATATATTACAGGTGTTGTGTCTATAATATATAACATAACTTCGATTGAGAGTGTCATGGCCATAGGTTGGCATCATGGCAATAGATTACTATCTAGACTTAGGCCAAATAGGCGTAAGTAGAAAAAAGTACAGCTTATATTTCTGACTAACTCTCTGGTGAGGTAAACAATAATAATATACATACTAAAAATAAATCTGAGAGACGGCAGTAGGCTGGCCCCCTGTCTTCAAATATGCCTGCCCAGATATGTTGGTGACCATGATTGATTGTGAAGGAGACAGATGTAGATTGCGTTTACCATGATATCTACAGTTGACAATGTTTTCGATTGACTGTCCACATTAGTCTTAACGTATGTGTTGATACATGTCTTCCTAATTCTCAACAGGTATCCCGATGGAACAGTCCGACTACGTAATCCTAACATCGAGCTCATGGATCAGGATATCCTATACCATCTGGCTCTTGGCAGTGGATCTCATGATCTCGTGGAGATGTTTGGTGACGTAAAGGTACGTAATAAAACTACCAAAATCTTAAGTATAAATAACAAATATTGTATTAAACGTATTTTTTCTTGGCTTTTATATATAGTGTAACAAAACATGATAATGAAAGTAGAGTTTTATATATATAAATATATGCTGATGAAAAATGTGTATAAAATTGTTTATTTGTATTTCTAAACGATATTATTGAAGAAATGTATTAGTGTTTCTTATTTTACTTCGCTAATGTAATAAAGTTTTGTAGGTCAATAGCAAATGTACACAAATAAGGGACTCTACATTATCTTATCACACTGATGTCATCAATTTGTAAACAGAAATTGTGAATGTACTAGAGGTTAATAATATCTACGGCTATCAGTTACAGCAATAATGTACAGATATATATTTTTGTCCATAGTTTGTGTGCATGGGTGGGACCCCAAAGCGTATGGAACAATTTGCGTATACGATCATGGCCGAGATCGGCCATAAGCTACCTTGTGGTACCACTCTACAGGATATCAGTCAGTTCTCCTACCGGTACTCGATGTATAAAGTAGGCCCTGTGCTTTCCATTAGTGTAAGTATGCATCACATGTCTACAGATTAATTATTACATCCGTTTCCTTTAGAGGAATGACGTATAATGTAATTAGCATTGTTTAAAAAAGTACGTTGTGAATGTAACTTATTCACAACGAAGTATTTTCGATGACGACGTCTATGAGGTTGTAAAATGTCTTCTTTACTATCGAGTAAACAACAGTTCTTACAACCCCATCACGGATAACAGTTTTGTGGGTATATTATTACCGTTATTTCCCTGTATATAAACGCCGCGTCATTAATATTAAATAGCGATGACGTAGTTTCTCAAATTTATGCTTTAAATTTTATAAAATATGACAGTTATTTTGTTATTAAATATTTATTGATAACATATATATATATTTTAATCTTTTATGTATTTATTTATATTTTCACATGTATTTAGCTAATAAATGTATATATATATTTAAAGAGTATTGTATTTAAATTTTATAATGGAATTATATAGATTTTATATTTATATGTATTAACATAGATTTATATATCTAAGTCAGTACTTAGATATATAATACAATTATTATGAGGGAAATCTGTAATGTCACTAACATTTCGAGTGGAGGACGTGACGTACGCACACAGTGTAGTTGTATGCAAACATTTGATAATGCCTTGAGGGTACAATCGATTACGCACATAAAATTTTAACAATAAGTTATCGAAGAGTATGTACGAGTCTTTTATATTAATGGGAAATTCTATTAAAAGTCCCATTAATGTCCAGAATTGACAAACATTCTTTATTTATTCAGTTCGTAAGTACTTATTTAGTTAGTAAAAGTACTTTTAATAAATCGGGATGTTGATTTATAAGTCGCAAAATAACATGTAGGTATATACAACAGTATGCATGTATTTTTTACCATATGTAGGTGCTTTTGGCTAACATGGATGTCTTTTGTGGGAAAAAAATATAACTATCACAGTGCAAATATATCTGTAATCGAGTATTTTTATATTAACTTTACTGACCTTCACTTTTTATGTATTATTATGACTACTTATAGTTATAAAAATATATTGTTATGCTTGGCAACGATATTGTTACCAAATAAATATCACCAGAATTATATAAATTATTTATGCGCTATGCAAATTACATCCAGTAATACAAAAATACCTCTTGCTAGAATATTTCTTCGTTTCATTTATAGCGTGATGTCACGCTAATTAATAAGAATCAAGTACTACACATTTAAAGAAAAATAACCTTGTTATTATTTTTACAGTAATATGCTATGAAAATAATAACATGCTTACTTTTCCCTTGTTAATGAAGCTTCAAAGTTATTATTCTCGTTTCCAATAGTATCAAAAATTGATTTGCTTTTAAGTAAAGTAAGACCTTCAATTCTAGATAGAAATTACGGACCAATCACATTACAATACGTCATTTTTCACTTATTTATAATTTTGAATTACATGCTAGCAATGTTTTAATTTTATATATATTTTGATCATGAATGAACTGGAAAGGTAGTAAATAACGAGATGAATGCGAACAGGGATGAATGGAAGAGGAAAACATATTACGCCGAATAAATATGATGAGGAAGAAGAAGATGTGTCTTTTGTGATCGATCAATATTATATATTTTTTTTAAGTTAACTAAAATATATCGTTGTTGTTACCACAAAACAGAGGTTGCTGCAAACTAATGTTAGGTTAAGAATCTTGCTTAAATATAGTACGTAGGTTTAATGTTTGTTTAAGATGTTAAGGATTTTTTTATTGTGCATTGTTTTTATTTCTTTAAACATGGTTAGTCAACTTTCTACAAATAATATCTAATAGATTCAAATTAATAGACACACTGTTCGCCATAATATTATTCACGGAATCACAGCCTAGGCTTTTAGTTTCTATACAATTATGTAAATTGTATATGTAAATATTTTCTTATCCACATCTGAGCAATTTATTAAACAAAGGTACAGTTGTTAGTATATGTAACTATAGTTTATAATAAAATTGAGTGTCACCATAGAAATTGATTTATTTTTGTGTACATGATTTTAGCACGGTATGGGTATACCTTCAGTGGGGATATTGCTCCATGAAGTCATTAAGCTGATGTATCACGCTCGGGTCCGGGATCCCGTTTTCTTTAGAATCGGTACATGTGGTGGTATTGGCTACGAAGGCGGCACCGTAGTAATATCTGAAGAAGCAGTAGATGGAGCATTGAAGAATGTGCTTGAAGTGGTATGTTGTCGAAATTATTCACAGTTTACCTAATTTCCCGTGTCTCATGTTATATAACTAAAAAAAGTTATGTTGTCATTAAAAAGTTTTCACCAGATGTAACAGTTTGATAATGAAATAAGTATTAAAGTTTACTCCAAATTAAAAAAAAACTCTTAAAATGTGACTCTACAAATTAGATCTATCAAGAAAGAGATTGTTAAGAATTATATTGTTGCGATTTCAGACTGTTTTAGGCAAAAGCGTGCAGCGTCCTGCAAAACTCGATCGACGTCTAGCCCGGGAGCTGAAAGGATTGGCTGATCCGGAAGATCCGTATGATACTGTTACCGGCAAGACAATGTGCACTTATGATTTTTATGAAGGTATGATTTGAACTCTTTGTATAATATAATTTTTCCCGTAAAGATCATACAATGTCAAGTTCAAGACGGCCTCAATACTTCATATACTTACAATGTTTCTGGCGTTATAGGCGGCGTTCTACCTTCAGGGAAGTCGAATAGTTGTTTGTCTGTCTTATGGCCTTAAATAATTAAGGAAATACTGAGTGAAGACTGAATGCAGAAGTTGATAATGAGTGACCAGACATTCATTTTGAACTGAATTTTAAACAAGGAAATCTTTATAATTGCATTTTTACATCTTTGCCTACTTTATGAAAGCTATATGTTATAATTAAAACTATGTTATAATTATTCTATTGTCTAAGATAAGGGGATAATGTTTCATTATTTGTTGCTTATCTATATAACTTATTGTTAAACACATTTTCTTCTAATTTTAAAAACATGTATTACATTTGCACTCATGTAGGTACTGTATATAGCTATTAGGTCTGCCGATAATTATTTCTCAACCGCTAGTTTAATTTCATGTACATAAAAGGTTTTTATTACACACGTTAGTGGAGTCTTGTGTTTGATAAAGTACAGGTATTTTGTTAAATTTTCGGCTACGGCTACGACATAGAAATTAACTGAAGCTTAAATAGCTTCGGTTTACTTCAATGACGTGTGAATGTTTATTTTAATCTTTCAGGTCAAGGCCGATTAGATGGTGCATTTTGTGACTTCACTGAGGCAGACAAAATGGAGTACTTAGAAGGTATTCACAAGGTATGAATTGCTCTAAATAATCTCATGTATGTTTAGCAAATGGTAATCCTTAACTTTACATAGTCACAAAATTAAGGCTTCGAACATTGCTGGGGTATGACGGTAGAGAACGATATATAATACATATTTCATAGACTGCAATTTTGCCCTATGGACCGGACTATAATATTTTATAGAGATTGTAATTTTCGCCTATGGACATGACATGACAACGTTGAGATTATAGAATATCTGTTTTATTATGTCATCGCTCACTGATATGTTGATACTTCTATTCTTAATTTGATTTTACTAAACTGAATTATGTTGATTCACTTGGAGAATTTTTTGACATAATATATCTAGCTATGTCTATTCTCAGGATATTAAATATGATATGGAGATAGTTCATGACATATTTTTAAAAATACATTCAGTCCTTTAATTCTGAAAATGTAACTACACTATTGTATTACTAAAATATATTTTTTACGGCTTTGTTATATTTGTTTATTCATTATTATTTCATGGAATAGGGACATAATACTCTTTGTTTTTTTACTAAGTCAACATGACTACAAGTAGACGGATTAACGTTCAACCAAAGTACCTTTGAGTATTGTTTTTTTCTAATATGAATAAGTATTCATTAAAAGTGCACAAAGCAGGTATTATTTGGCATATTTTTATTAAAATGATTATTTTTTATTGTATTTATTACGTAGAATATTGTATACATTCGTAGGCGGGTGTGGTGAACATCGAGATGGAGTCGCTGGCGTTCGCTGCCTTGACTCATCACGCCGGCATCAAAGCGGCAGTCGTTTGTGTGACGCTCCTCGACAGGTTGAAGGGTGACCAGGTACATCTAATTTATATTATTATTTCATATACTCGAATCAAAACACGTATGAATAATGTTTGTACGGTAAATAGTTATTTATCAAAAGTGTTCTATTTAATGTAGAACTAATTATTTTTTATAGATTCGCTGATGATACGAAAAATACATTTATAAATATTAGTGATTGCATGTCTGAACATGTGGTCGATATAATAACTCTATAAAAACATATTGAAATATAAGATGAAAGGAACAATTAAGGTTTTAAGAAACAAACTTCACTTCTTCTTCTTCCTTCTATCTTTACATTCTCTCCCTCGTACTGTGCAGAGCGGGACGATAGAACTGGACGGTGGTGTGTTGGAGGTGGTAGAACCTTATAACAACTTAAAATAGTAATTGTTAAATTCACATGAAACAAGAAGCTCACTATTGTAATTCTAAGCTTCTAAATAAATAAAGAAAATAAAATTGTGTGTGGGACTGTGTGTACTGTGCAGCCAACGATTATGGTAATTATAGTAGTAACAGTACCTATATTTTAAAGTATATTTCGTATCAAAGTATGTATGGTAGCAGAAGGCTAAAAATACGAAATATCGTGCCAACCAGCGGCCCGAATGTAAGGAGTCCTATACAAATGAAATTGACGGAAATATCGTCACATTGTTATTTAGTTACTGGTAACATATGATATCAAGAAATCGTATACCAATAACACGGAGCAAGTAACCACTACATTTTAACCTATAGCTATTATTGTATTATATTATTATTGTTATACTATTGTAGTATTATCTTATCTGAGCTAAAACTAAATATTGTTTTGAGTCAATTTGTGTCTGATGTTATAATTATTTTTCTCAAATACTCACAGCAATAATAATACGTTGAATAATCAAGTAAAACTTTTGAGGTCAACCCTAAATGTCGTGAACTTAGATATTTTATTCTTTTATATTTATTATTTATAGGTATTAGCTCCGAAAGAAGTTCTAGACGAATGGCAACAACGTCCGACGAAACTTGTTTGTCGCTACATTAAAAGGTAATAATATTGCTTAAATATTTTATATAGTTTGAAGAATGTACTTGTCTGTAATATAGTTCTAATGCTGTTGTATTTTTACTATTATAATGAAATTAATTTTGCACATTGATATAGTAGGTATCGAAATCGTTTGGCTGATTTGTGTCTAAATATTTAATCTGAATATTTATGCATATAATACAGTTTTCAACTAATACTTTAGATATTTCATTAATATTGCCTTTTGAGTCATTTACTTTTTAGCTTATCTTTATTGTGTTCGAATTATAAAGTGGATTCTGAAATTTTTAGAGTAATCTTTTATTGTCAACTTCTACTACAAACTACTTACTGTTATGCTATTGTTCTATTTACTTTTTTTTAAATGTTTATTTCACCTAATATATACTGTCCCTGGTGGCATGAAACTACAGGTAATACGAGCGTCGCATATTGGAGTATTGTCCGTGACAATCTTTAGATAAATAAGCGACAATTATCGCTTATAACGTATAATAAGGTGGTTCGTCAGTTCTTCAGTAGTCTAGCGGTTTAGCACATCGCCTTAATTCTGATGGTCGCGGGCTCGATTCCTCGCACGGCACAAACATTTGTATTCATGAGTATGATTTGTATTAGTCTGGGTATTTTTTATGTATAATATTTGTAGCAGTAATGTATATTGTATATAGTATCCATAACACAAGCTTTAATTGCTTAACTTGAGTCTAGACAGCGTTGTCTGAATTGTCCTGAGATAATTTATATTATTTTAAATTTTTATTACATAAAAAAATAGATCAAATGTTTTGGTTACTTCACAGATACCTTCAAATGAAGGGACGCCTGTCATTAGATGGGCACGGCTCGGTTGCAGTAAAGAGTCCCCGCCGTTTCAAGCTGGTGCAGCAGGAATCGGAGAACTACGATTAATGCGACAACTCACATTTTGTATCCCAGTAGCAATTTCATATGCTTATGTGAATATGTATTATTGGTTACGCTTGTTATAAGATTAGATTAGAAGTGAAAAAAATGTTTAACGGCTTATTTTGTTAAACGTTGAGTTTTGTACTTAATCTCGAAGTACCTACAATTTTAATGTTAATAATACATTTTATAAATTAATAGGAACTACCAAAAATTATTCAATGACAATGGTAAAATGCATAAATATTAAATGACATTCTGGTGGCCTAGACATAATATAAAACGATAAGTATGGTATGTACTGGGTTAATTGTAGAGTACCAAGCCAGAACTGCAACAAGACACAAATATAAAAATAAATATGGAAATTTTCTTAATAGAGAGGTTAAGTTTACTTTGGATAAAGATTTCAAAAAATTTTTTCGACATTCCACTTTACTTTTTGTATACTTTACATTAGTTTCATGAATATAATCAGAGACGTTCAGATTGTTATACTCTATACGATAAATTTTGTAGGTATATGAAGAGAAAATGGATAATAGGTATGTTATAAGTAGATACGGGGACATCTAATACTACATGAACTGCAGCCGCAACCGACTCCTGTTTATGTAGTGCATTATTCAGCACAAAAGGATTCACATAATGTGGTTGACGTTACGAGGTAACAGGAAAGTCATAAATCAAAAATAGTAATAATGTTTATTGAAATGCCTAGTGTAGTGTCTAAGTCACCAAGTGTTTTCCAGCTGATAGATATATTTATGATTTTACCATAGCCTGCTCAAGGTTTGATTCTTTGACTTCTATATGACTCTCTAGACAATTTGTTATAGGTACTACAAATTTTGAAACTTGTTGATACATATGTATCCATGTATTGTCGGTTTCACTACGCATCATGTATATCACTGCCTGTATAGTTTTAATAGCGTAGTGGAATATCTACAATAATTGTTTTGAAATTAATTTGCTTGGTAACGTTTGATGTTCAGTATCGTAATAAGTAACTATTGCCACTGCTAATATTTGTGTTAAAAATAGTATTTATGTGGATATACATAGGCGGAATTATTTTTAATGTTAAATAATATCTAGGAAATATTTGAGTGTATGTTTAACATTTGAAAATCGATATTTCACTTGATGTTTGTTCACGGTCCTTTCTTCTCTTGGTAAATTTGCTATTCACTTTTAAAAGTTGATATACTATTGTATTTTATATATTATATTTAGCTTCAAGACGAATTGTAGGTTTTTAATATTATTGTGATGCATATTGCAGTATATTTATACAGCTCATGTTTATTTTAATATTATAAATGCAAAAGTATGTTTCTTCGTATGTTATGCTTTAAACACTTAACGGCTTAACCAAGTGGCATTAACTTTGACATATATGTATGTTGGATGGTATAGATCATAGGCGCATAGACTTTGTATGCCGGTTAATCATATTTAGAAAAATAATAAACTAAAAAAAATTATCAACTCCTAAGGTTTACAGTTTTTATAGCTTTTGCTGTATTAGATGGAATGACAGAATAAATATGCCCATCATAAATGTTTTAGGTATTTATTCTGTGATGCGTGTGATGATAAAACTTTACATGAAACCAGAATTATTTAGACATTTCATTCAAAATTAAACTTGGTCTGATTGGTATAGTTGTTCTTCAGGTATTCCATATTTATTATACCGTTTGGATTTACCACCACTAGTAAAAGATATCACTATCAGCATAATTAGATATATCTATATACCTAATAATGCGGTAGAATCTATAATTATTTTCAAATATATGTAGTATCTAGCTTGAGAATAGATTTTAAACATGATAAGCTACTAAAGCTTAATGTGCTTAGGAATTGTAAGAACTTATAAATTAAAAAGTGTGTTCGTAGGTAAAATTTTTTATATTTACAAATATTTTCTTTAAGTATTTTTGTTTTTGATGATAAAACGGTAATTTATGTATTATTCAATATCCTCAGTTTACACCTTGATATATATCTATATATATAGGTATACATATTATCATAATGAATGAAATTTCAATTTTGAAGTACTATAAGTACTTCATAATTGAAATTATATTCATATATATACAATATGTACTTATTTTGAATAATCTATCAGTTATAAAAGTTTTTGACACACTTATAAAACCAACTACCTGACGTGCGTCAGCTACCTTTGTCTGCATCAAATCTTCCCAGTTTAAAATGCAACACTTTAAATTGCAGCTCCGCTCTTTTTGGCCGTAGCCTGTTTATTACCTAGTTGACTATTTTTTCCCTAAGACTTATCTAAGAACATTTATACTAAAATTTATCAAAATTCTGCTGTATAATTGTTAAGGAGTAACACACAGATATAGTTAATTTGAGAGACTCTTGTTATATGTTTAAATTTACTTCGCTCTATCAATACATAAATCAGGAAACTATTTACTGAAAATGAACTAAGTATTTAATTATCTTGATATTTATTCTTACATCTTTTACTTTAAACTCTTATTGTCCTAAAAGAAACATAACTAGGTATCTAACAACCATGAATAGCTGTGAACTGTAAACGGAGGTAGGTAAAATGATGTACATTATGAACTCATAGTCTTTATTACATCACAGAAACTGGCTCAATACCTACCAAGACAGTGACAAAATTGTCATAAATACCTAAATGTAATGTACAGTAATGGATTTATATATTACATTTAGAACATGTCCTTAACTATTTAACCTTAAGACAGTCCGCTTAAGACGATCTAGTAAATTCATGTGTCAACTGACTTTTATTTTTTTACAACTATTATTTCGTTACTTTTTGACTTAACTACTGAGGTTACAACTGACAATTTCTTTAGACTTGATTCTTCTAGGAAATTTAAAGATACATGTTAAGCAAAGTTTGAGAAAACAAAATGTGTTTAAAAACGAACGCAATATGTAGGTTGCGGAAACTGCTCGGCTCCATTTAGTTTACCATATCAGTGATACAGAAAAGGGGCGATATCAAAAAAGAATCCGGTGGATTTCAGCATATCAATGCGAAAGTGGATACTTATTATGAGAATGCTTATTTCCTATTAGCTGCATCTATTGCTGGTATTGAAAATGTATGCATTTCTAAATATTAATAACATTAGGTATATCAATACTAAGTAATTGTAAAGCGTAGGTACCTATATATAAGTTAGTCAATCATGCTATAAATGTATGGTTTAAGGCTTGATACAGTCTTTTTGCGGTTACAATTCAATCAGATTTTCTAAAATGTATCAAAGTAATATGTTGATGTAATTTTACACTTATTACTTATAACTCTTTTTAATCACTTTATTGATCTAATATCACATGTGTTTACTCTTTGTATAAAATTAAGTCTATACCTAAGTATTTTTGTCTGTATGTACCGTGTATCTATGTATGAACTTTATTCCGCATACCTAATTTTTTATTAGCAAAATTTTGCGTTATGAATACTCGAATATAATGAGTCGCCGTGTGAATAATGTTGTAATAAGTAACGAACATTGGCGAATATAATAAGTAACGAACATATATAGGTAAGTAGTGAAGTCTAAGTATTTTTTTATTTTATTTTATCATATTTTCTGACTTTGTTTTTAGTTATTTATAATTCGTCGGCCTATAGGTATTTGCTGCAACGATTTGATTTTTCTTTGAGTTAATGTGATTTTCTTGTGCGGTTGTAATAACGCCACTTTTTTCCGCATTCTTTTCTAATGGATAGTTTCAAATAATTTCTATTATACATTACATAAGTTATGGGCAGGTACGCAAAAGAAGCGTATAAATAATATCAAATATTTATGCATATAATATCATTATTCAAGCTACCCTTTTTTTCATTATTAGCTGCATTATAGTGTCTAATAAGTGATGTTAATTGTATTTAGTTTAGCTTGCATTAGAAAATTTTGTGATAAAAATAGATATTTATTAAACTATTAGGTACTATAAAATAAGCCAAGGACCATGACGTACAACACATTCGTCGGCCATGATTGTAGATATATAATAATATAGACCCCCAAATTGTTGAAACGTTAGTTTGTTTTATTGATGAGAATGGGAAAAATATTTATACTCATCTTGTTGTTAGGAACATGTTAAATCTTTTTTGTAAAAATATTTCAGATGTTAAAAATATTAATGAAACATTACTATGATATAAATCTTATAAACATGTACTCTCAGGCCGATAGAAATATTGTTTGTCAGGATGAGTAACTGTATGCCATGTGCTTCCACCAGTGTTGAAATTGTTGTTAATTAGGTAATGCACGAAGTGTTGTTAAAAAGTTTCTTTAATGTAAATATTTAAAATACTTTATGATATTTATTTTTTTATAAATATTTTCTTTCTTCCACCCATATCGTCGATTCTCCAGATATCTTAAATATCTAAAATAGAAAGCATACGAAAACAAACATATTGACATTGTGGAATAATGCTTAGGTATAAAGTTATAATATTTTGTAAGACTAGCATTTTGAATTAAAATTCACCTTTCTTTGAAGGTGTTGTACCAACTTCATACATATCTGATATTCGAATTGATATGCCAACAAGTTTATATGTAAGTTATGAAAGTCTTAGCCAAATTTTATCCTTAGGTCGAGTTCATATTTGGTTTGAGAGCAAATTCTACTTAAAACTTTCGCAGGACAATATGTTGTGTAAAGGTACTAGTTACCTGAACAGGTCATACATAATTTTTATTTGAATATGTGTTTTATAATGAAAGTATTAGAATAATTTATAATTATTTCAGTATGGCAGAACAATGCAATTTTAACTGACAAAAATGATTCATAATCAATACAGCATACATTTTAAGAATATTTAATTTATTATTGTTACGACATACTAGTTGATATATTCATTATTAAAGATTGCAAGTTATATAAGAATTCTAGACAAAATATACAATAATGAATATGTAATAATGAGTAATATCGATATTTAATATTATTCGATATCGTTAAGAAATAATATGCCACATTTTAAAGTTAAACGTCTGCTGTTGATTAGGATTAAGGATGAAACGATGACCTAGTAATTAACCCATAGGAAACTTTAAATATTTGTATACATAAGTTTCTAAAAAGGTAAAACTTGAATATTATACTTAATTACCTAATGATGATGTTATCGTTATTATAATCGAATAAATACAATCCATCGATCCTGTTAAAATAATCTATTATGGGTAATAAAATATGAATATAATATTTCGAGGGAATATAGTGGCAAATAGATTTTTGTTTGCCAAGTGCACCACTTGCGGTCTCCCCTCCCATCGTTCTCCCGATCGATCCAATTCAAACGCGGGTCGAAATTACTACGGCCTGAACCGAGGTTCAACCATCAAGAAGAAGTTGACCTTCATTCGCTCCATAAGTTCTCTCGCGGGTTTGGAGTGCCATCTGCACTCGCTCCCTATCATCCGGTTAGCTGCGGGCAACAGCATTTGTGTAGTCCGGAAAAAAACTACTTGCGGTTATGCATGGCAACAATTGCACGTATGGAACTTTTTTAGTGATGTATTGAACTTTCTTAATAACTAAGCTGATTACTTTAGAATATTTTTTGGTTTAGACTCTATTTTACGTCCTCTAATTTCCTAATAAGGAAATGTTTGTGCATAAAAGGATTTTCATTTTATTATAAGCCAATGAAACTGTAATTACCTATGGATTTTTATATATTTAAGAAACATGTATTTATTATATATTATCTCTTTAATATAATAGATTTTTTCAATTATAGTGACAGGATATGTTGCAATATAAACCTACTATAAGCTGTACAAAATGAATGTCAACATTGTATTCTATCCAACGTGACATTACAATTCATAGATGTGCATGTAATTATCAAATCTGTTACTAATTTGTGGAAAATTAAGTGTCATATCATTTGAAATTTTTAAAGAAACATTTAAAGAATATATTCCTCAATATTTATTCATATTTTTATGTACATACCTACATAAAAATTACAATAAGATTAAAATGCCTATTGTTAACTTAATATTCTAAAACAAAGAGTATAGAAACATTTTCGATCATGGCACCACATTCCTTCTAAATATGTTAAATATAAGAAGGAATACATAACAAACTATCAGCCAACCTTTTTTCTTTTCCGGTATCAAAGACTCAAAATGGGGTAGAACCGAATTAAATGTTTTGTACAGAAATTATATCCAAGTGACATAATACAAAAATTATGTACTGATATACATGTATATGCTATTACATGTTTACCTTGTTATTTTTTAGTTATTTTATGGAAAATAAATGGATTGCAAAATCTTTCATTCTCTGAAAGATTTTGCAGAAGTAAATGGAAAATCAATTATCAATTATAAAGTCAGTCTTAAATAAAATACATTTGTTTAAACTGTGAAGTACTTTGCATTGTTGGCTATTTATATATATAATATGGTACATACATATTAATAAATGAGCAAATAAGTGTTGTGTTTTTTTATTCAACTATTAAATAAGTTCCTATAATTATCCTGACTATTAACTTCACTTAAGCTGTAGGAACTTCATTAGAGCGTCATATATGAGACGGGGACTAGCGTCACTATCTGCCGTGTACCTGACGCCTCTAAGTGCTCCGTCTTCATTTCTTACCACTCCATATTCACCTACTATAAAACCATCTGAAGTCCTTTCTTCTACTCTATACTTTTTGTATTGTCTTCCTTCTACAACATATCCTACTTTACAATTATCTTGTTTACATTTTTCTGTAGTTGTCTCTTGAACACCATGTATGCGACCTTCACTCAAAACACTAATTTTCTCATCTACTTCATAATTTTTCTCTGGTTGGTGTTCTAGTACCGAGTGTCTCATAATTATATCTGAGGGATTAGTAATTGTTGTTACTGGAGTAGTATTATCGGTGCTCGTGACGTCTACTGGAGTAGGTTGCCAAGGAGAGTAATTTGGAGGAACGCTTGGAGGTAAATGTAGCGATGCGGGTTCACTGTAAAATTTTGCTGGTTCGCTGTAAATTTTTGCAGGTTCGCTATAAATTTTAGCTGGTTCACTGTAAATTTTGGCTGGTTCGCTATATACTTTGGCGGGTTCACTGTAAAATTTAGCAGGTTCGCTATATATCTTAGCGGGTTCACTGTAAACTTTTGGCGGATCATAAAATGTTTGTAAATTTCCGTGAGTAGTATCTGAATTTTTGTTTACGTCTCTAGATTCATCGTAATTATTTTGATTGGGCGCATCATGCACTATATTAAAGCTAACAGTTGTCAGACTTGCGCTGTTCCCTCTTTCATTACGAGGTTTATTTCTTAGACCTTGTATGTAATTATTCGATGGTGGTACTATTGGTACTGATCTGGCGATAGGTACGTTTTCATTGTTTTTATTATTTTTGTCATTAATTTCTAAAACTGCCTTAATTGACGATTCAGCAATAGAATCATCCGATTCGTTGTAGTTTGAATTGTGTGTTTCAAATTGATATGGATCACGTACTATAATGTTCTTTTTATTAACATCGTTATTCAATGATCGAGTCAGTGATCGAGCAATTGGTACGTTTTCGTTATTCCTGCCAATTTCACTGTTGATATCGTAATGGTGTTCTAATATCGAGTCACTACTATAATTCCTACTTTTATTATCAGTTTTGTAGTCGTTCTGTTCATAATTATGATCCGTTGTTAGAATGTCTGCTGGGGTATCTCGGTCATCATTATAATTATCTTTATGACGATGAAACTCTTCGGAATGTTTTTTTATATTATACTGAATTGGGTGAATATTTTCTTCATTATATAGTCCTTGTAACTCTTTCTTTGCATTGAGTTGTTTAATAAATTCTATGTTAGCACCAATAAGACTAGCTGGTGCATTACTAGAAGTTTCCAGTACTGTATTCCTTACATTTTCTGAATTACTTATTTTTGTCGTAGGATCTGTGGTGGATATTATAGGTTCGTTATAGGTATAGCCAGTACTTTCAAAATTATTTGGCACATGCTTTCCTTTCTGCCTGCCTACAGCCACTGACGATGTAATTCTTACAGATATGACTTGTTCATTATGAGGATAAGCAGTGTTCTCATACTTTGGTATATTTTGAGTGTTGTGGTCATATTCAGAATTTACTTGTTTTTCATCCAGTTCAATATGGACAGGCCACGGTGTAACGAGAACACATTGCAGGATCTGTAAGACAAAATAATTCATTATTGTAAGTGCCAAAATATTTTATTTCGTGTTTATAACCAAGAAACATTAAAAAAATAATTTATGTACAAAATAAAAATGTATGTAGGTACCTAATATTATTGTTAGTTTGGTAGTTTATTATACATAATTAGGAAATAATTATGTAAGGTACTATGGTACATATGGTATTTGACTGATATAAGTAAGTGGCGGTATTTTACATTAATTACCAAACAAAACATTAATTGTAACTTTTTACATTCGTAATTGAAATACCTCGGCGACACGTTCCGGATACTTGAACACGGACATTCGCCTTAACTTGTCAGTGTAAAAAGTTAATACGTCAGTCTGACCTATGAGATATGTGGAACTGGTTAGCACTAACTACATTGTGCTACATTTGTTTAAAGTCATTACCTGGTCACTCTTTCACACACGTTTACACGGAATCGATTTCATTACCCTAGTGGTTTTAGGTTTAGTACATGTTCATATTACTTTCTAATAGTCCCGATGTCAAACAACAAACTTATTATTGATAAGTATACCTATTTATTATTATTATTAACTATTTGAGAATTGCGAAAGGAAGCTTAAGTATGGTTTTCTAATGCAAGTGTAAAATATGTAATGCAAAGTTGTAGATTTAAATTTATTTTATATAATAACTATTAGTAACAGCATTACCCACATAACACTAATCCTATAGATGCTTGTATATTCTCAAACACATCTTTTTGACCTCTTTTATTGATACCTCAATAAGTGAAATAAGTAATAAATATAAAAAAAAACGTGATTGATAATGTCACAAAAGTTAACAATGTATGTTATTACCTACACATACACATTGCTAAAAGAATGTACCAATCGGCGCGTAAGTTTTTTTTGAATTGAAAATTACTTCATGCAGTTCTAATTTATTTAAATGGAATGGATTAGTATCGTATATGTTAATTATAATAATTAACATTGAAGTGCGACGGGGCGTTTACAAATTGAGGAGCGGAAACAGTTCAGCAGAGCGGCAGACAGCGACGGTGGATTGCGAGCGTGATGCTGGTGCGGGCGGTATATCGGCTGTCTGCTTAGGGTTGTGCTATTATGCATAAAAATTGATTATTAATGATTTTAATGTGTTACGTTTGTTTGTTTACAATTAAATAAAAAAACAATCGATTTTTGTAATAACAAAAAACAGAATCATTTTTATAGAATATTTAAAACTGTTTTGACGTCTCTTAGCCTGTCAGTGTACCTACAGTCCTTATTTGTAAGCAAAAGATTTACTAGAATATTAATATTAATTATAAAAATATATCGATATTATAACAAAAATATTTTTTTCCATTATAGATGATTTTTTCACATCCCTACTGATGACGTGATAAATAAATATTAAGTACGCGACCATGATAGCGCTCCAGATGTAGCTACCAATAAATGTTCTAATTATCACGTAAAGTATTTTTATTAAAAAAAATTTACATGCAAATCGTGCAAATTACTAGCTGTATCCATAGACATCGTTTGGGTTTAGTCTAAATTTTTCTAATTGTTTTTGGTTCGACCGTCGTGGCTTAGCGTGAAATTAAATAGGCCTCCTTTTATTTATGATATTTTAATGATAAGAATTGGGGTATCATAAATAAAATAATCTTTATATCCATCCAATAGAGCGTTCAAACAAACCCGTCAGTTTTATTTGTTGCTACAGATAATGTGTGTATTATTTGCGGTTTAGAGTGAGTGAATTTAGACTATAAAATATCTCAAGGTATGATGTACGATGCTTTATTCATTCAGAAATTAAAAGGTTTTGCCAAAGACTGCTAAAATTACTAATTAATTATTATGCAACGTACCAACGATTTATACGCATTGGTAGATATATAGGATTGCACATCCAGATGTGTTAATCTAAGCAGTATTATTTATAAATTATGTAGGTACTAGCATCATAACGAATTAACAAATCACATACAACAGTTAATATTTAATTTGTCTGATTTATCCAAGTTCATTTATTTTGTATATATCTCTCTCTATATTGAATGTATAAAATATAAATAAGTAAATATGCTGTATATATAAACCTCGGAATTAGAAATTACAGCCAAATGTGAAAAATGTTTCGAATCAAATTATTTGTTTAGATGGCTTTAAATTAGCAGAAAAGGTTTTTTACATCTAATGCCTTAATAATTGCAATCGATATGAATTCATATTGATTTTGGTTATTACAAAATAAATACTAACTGAGTAGGTACACATTTGACCTATCTGCCTATCGTAGGCAGCCGCCTACGATAGGCAGATAGGATATAATCAAATTTTTAATAAATAAAATAATCATTGATTTGATTACATGGATTGGTAGCCACCAATCCATGTAATCAAATCAATGATTATATTTCTATTATACAATATACATTAACCTTTCTCATTGAAAATTGGTAACGTAGACACGTGTGACCTTATAAGCAAAAATTCAATTCAATTAACTGTCAAAGTAAGAGATAGGTAATATGCAATAATTAAAAAATAATATTACGTATTTAGAATTTATTTCAATGCAGTGAATTATACTTACTACCGACCTACCGATTACTTACTACTTGCGGTGGGAAACAAGTGTTGTATTTATGCTTTGTTTTAATGTAGCTAACCGTCAAATTAAATGTAAACAAGAATGACATTGCTTCAAAGCTGTAAAATTTTTCACGAGATCCTGATATCACAAATTATAATAACACATATATAAGAGACAAGTCCAAGTTGTCTTATTTTTGAACAGCATTTCAATACAGTGACAGTAAATGAATGTAAGGTTTTTTCTACAAGAAACTACAGTGGTACCTATATGGTTTCACGATTGATGTAGCAAAAATTAAAAGTATGTAAACGTACCCACACATTATTTTAATACGTAGATAAGTCAGTAAGGCACGCCCTGTAGGTTTGAAGGTAGCCATGCGGCAGCCTACAAACTAGTCTTGTGCATAATAGTTCACGAGCCAATATATTTCGACATTGCGAACTATATCGTTCTTTTAGTTTATTCGCTGCAATAGAAAAGTGATGATCAACAAAAACAGCAAATATAATTTATCACCAAGGTTATATCACATCACATCAGATTCGTGCAATGTATTATATTATCTCAACTTTTTATTTGCACCAATGTGTCTTATATGCCTCACATCAGAAAAATGTTATTTTTTTTATGATCATAGTTTTTTTTTCTCTATCTACATTTATATCATACATTTAAGTAATTTGCAAGTAACAAAGACTGATTGATTGTAGGTATCATTCGGTATAATAGAGGTCACCTCTCAACTCACACCTCAACACCTGTATCTTTATTTTATATACAATAATATTACCTTATATTATTTCACCAAAAGATCTAAATAGCGAGAAATCTGCGAACTAGTTGGTGTAGTTCGTATTTGGGAGTATTCTTCGAAACTAGTTCGCTCGAGAACTACATAAGAATACGATTAACGCCACACGCCACGAGCCGGTGTCGTGGCAGTGAAACGCGAAGGCCGCCAACATATTTCTTTTTTGCATTTAACTGGAGCATCGAAACATTGTTAATAATAATGTAACATCTAACGACACCCGAAACATGAATAATTGCTTTCCTAATTAAAACTCTAATAGACATGTATAGTAATTAATGGTTATTTATCGAATACTTTATTAATCAAATTTAAATTTATCAATTGGTATCGACGCAAATTTGTATTGAGTTTATTTATAGACTAAATAGTTTATTAAATCAAATTAATAAATATTTAGTGTCATACCAACGTATTAACGTTGAATTAATTAAATTTACTACTGTATTTGCTTTAGAAATGAGGGGTCCCTACCAAATAAAGTAACAATGTAATAATATTTTTTATTTTTCATTTCAAATATATGAGTAACAAGTAGGTAGGTACGTAGTTTCCGGAAATTGTTCATCATTACCGGTGAATAGGTATGGCATTCAATTAAAAATTAGGTACCTACGATATTTTAATCGAGCCTCACGATTTTTTCATTAAAGGTTAGCAGAAATAAATAGATACTTACACTTATAATAGGTAGTTTTATTTATTTATACTATTGAATATCTAGAATTCTGGTCCATGACAATACTTTTTAAAAAAGGATTCGGTCATCTCAATTTAAAGCTACAAGACACTTAGTTACGTTTTTATGTAGTTACTGCGGAATGCGTAGTTGTTAATGATTTTATTTCGTTACGATTCAATAGTGTTCCACTATGTGGCAGGCCATAATAATACATAATATTTCACCCGGTTGGACTATTATTAGGGACGATGACAATTGTGATTCTACCTACGTTAATGGTATGTACGGAGGCAGGACATAAGTGCGAGTAAAACTTCGTTGCTTCTACACCAAACAACGTATTTTGATGTAGATTTCATTACCGATTACATATTTTTAATACAGAAGATTTCAATAATTGCGTCTTAATTGTTACCAATGGTATAAATGGTAACATAAATTTAATAGTTTGTTTGTTATAGTTTCAGCTTCATTAACACATATGAACCTTTTATACCGGTCAGTTTATGGCAGTGTGACTGAATATACGACGACAAACTAGATTATGTTTTTGACTGATTCTCCAGTAATGAAAATATCGATGGATGTATTTAGTGAAATGAGGATATATTAAGAGTTGCGGTTTCCACGACATTGAAAACTGATGACAATGACACCTGTGCCTACCACATTTGGTATAACAGTCGTGTTATATTTTTTTTTAATATTGTATTAAATTAATGTAGGTAAATTCAATCGCACTTGCTAATATTCAATAAATAGATACAGTCTACAGGTATATCTACTTGTAGACTCAATGATTAATATCAGAATTAATCATTGAGATAATAAGTTAATAACGGATCAAAGTTATTGGTATTGGAATACTGACTGAGATTGCTATTAGAAACGATTTTCTTGTTATAACTACGCCCTTCCTGTACTAATTGCTATATCCTACCACAGACCAATCTCAGTGATTATAATTTGAAGCCAATAGATGTGAATGATATTCGTTGCGCATAATTAAATTAACAATAATTTTATCATTTTCTTGTAACAATCCTATACTATAAAATTCTTATTTCTTACATTGCAACCGACTGTTGGTTTCTAAGATTTTAATTATATGTAAGCATGCTACATAAAGAATTTGCCAAAACACGGTAAGACAACGGATGCAACGTAATCCTACCTACAGATACATAATTCATATAAAAATGTATATCTATATCTATGTCGCTATACACGTTATAGTAATTAAAAATAGTCTTGAAAAATTTTATTTGGTTTTCTGCAGACACTCCGGTCTATAGGAAAAAACAAATGAAATAGATTAGAAATATAAGAAATAGGTTTTTGATTTAGTAATTTTTAGAGTCTTTATGTAAAATTTTAGTAGATCTAATTGTTTCTACTATTGTTTGTGTTTACAAAAGTACAATCATATTTTTTTTCAGTAGAAATAATTAGATACGTATAAGTTATCATATCTCACGAATTTGTCAATGAAATGAAAGAAATCTCGATTTAATGTAATATATTCCTAAAATACCTATTAGATGAAAAATTATTAATCATGAAAAAAATTAAAGGAACAAACGAACAAACAGAGAGATACATATTCAGACCTCGGTGGTCTAACAGTTTCCTCGCACGTTTCAAACATTTGTATTCATAAAAATGTGTGTTCGTATAAGTCTAGTTGTTTTCTACGTATATTACGTAGTACAAACTTACGAAAAAATTTGTTGTCCAGTACCCATTGCACAAGCTCTGCTTAGCTTGGGATTAGATGGCGCTGTGTGAATTATCCAGGGTTATTATCATTTTATTATTAAATGTGGATGGTTGCCGGCATGATATATTATATTTTATTAGCTACCTTCAATATGTGCTTTGTACAAGTCGCTATCGGCTGTATAGGCCTACAGGGTGAGGCGAGTAAACCAGTTCTGATTTACCAGATCGTGCGGTATTTTAAAGTCGGATGCAAATAAATTGTGCCATGATAAAGAACTTGAGAATACAAAGGATAAACGGATCTATATATGCTAAGGTTTATTTATAAAGTAGATATGTCTAAGAACCTGATTTTTAAGATGTATTTGTCTGAGGAAGACATGGCATACTTATTATAATATTTTAATTGTATGTTACTTTTCGTTGTGTTTTTAATATTTTGATTCTGCTGAATAATTGGTAGTTTGTATTCATACTTTAAACTTAATAATATAAAGTTACAAAATTTTTTTTTAAAAGAGCAACATTTAAATGTCTTTATCGTTCTTCTCGTGATGAAAAAGCTTTCCGAATGAGCTGTAGATAAACAAAAGTGAAAGATATTCACAAGTGTTTTTGAATAAATTATTGATTTTCCATTCTACTCTACACTTCTTCGCACTAAAAATCCTATTAGGTAGGTAATTTCAATACTAGATAGACAATTAGGCCTGACAAAGTGGAATCTCTAAGCAGAGAACACGAAGAGAGACAACTCATGAGTTTATAGTTATGAGCGTTACAGTATACATGACTCCTTATTTGCTAATAGGAAATAGCAATTATACAAAATATATACCTATACTTATATGTGTATATACAATATAAGTTGTATTGATATGACATTAATTTACAAATTAAGATTTTGCGCAGTAACTATTATATCTATGCTTTGTTAGCTGTTCTGAGAGTTCCTAATATTTCTTTCTATATTTAAGTACAATACTACGTGTTATTCTGATGTGAAAGCTTATTACTGTATAGTTTTATCAAAATTCGTTCACGAGTGAATGTGAAAGAGTAACAAATATCCATCCTTCCATCTATACTCAGAAACTTTCGAGTATCTAATATTAGTAAGGTATAGACAAACTTTGTACCGTAGAATTGTAGAAATGAACTGTCGGGTTTTTTGTAACCTTGTCAAGTTCACTTGGTATGTAGGTGTGCTAAAATATATCGGAAGGAGTTTATATATTGTCGCACTGGTAATATGGGTGTGGCAAACAAGTAATATGAAATATAATATACCATTCACTGTCAATTGTATAATAGAATATGAATAGTGTTTTTGGGAAACTTCATTTTATTTATTTCACTACAGACAACAAATTTAATTTCTATAAATTATTAAATTAATTTTTATATTATATACCTACTTGTACACATAATAATATAAAGATAATAGAATATAATACTAGATAACAGTAGGTATATATAAATATATTGTAAGTTTAGCAAAAACAATGCGAAATTAATAAGAGAGTATAATTTTTAATTGAAAAAACATTGAATCAAAATCTATCGAATGAAAATATCGAGCAGAATCTCTAAAATCAAATATGGCCTATGTTTCCTCTTCTTTGAAATCGGTTGATTATGTTTAATAAGAATAAAAATAAACCTTAACCATGCATGCACCGTTTGCATCAGGAAGTTATCTGCTGTGGCTTCAACTAGATCACTTTTTCTTAGTCACCGATCAAGTTTATGTAAATATCACGGTGGCATTTATTAACTACGTCTGCTGTGTTTTATTTGCTGTTCTTTTTTGTTTTGCAGCGATGGTGAAGATTAACGAGAGCTGTTCACATATTGGAAGTAGGTAAATGTAAAATACGATTAAGATCTCAGATGTTTAAGACATTTTATACATTTTTAACATAGTTCATTGTTCACATACTGCTGTATCAAAAGCTTATCTATTTATCTATTGCTATCGGCACACGCAACTGAGTTAGGTACTTGTAATAAGCATAGGTTCTACATAATACCTAATAGACAGGTCGTTTACGAGATATACTCCTAATTTTTAGTTTGTGAATTGATTGCAATCAGATACACCCTAATTGCTACGGAATGCTTGCTACAATATATTAGAAAAACCACATACAAATCCATAAAGCTGTTTCTGATATTAGTATTCTCATTTTTTTTTTAAACTCATGAATACAAGTGTTTCGTATACCTACTTATAATTTTTATCGTTTTCTGTACAGACACAAGTATATTTAGTATTTTAGTATTACTTGAAGATTATAAGATGCGAAAGAGCTGGAGTCAATCTATTATGGTGGATGCACTAGGAATCAACCAGGATGGTTTTCATGGAGACCCTGAGGAGGGTGGAGGCAGACCTTTTATTGCTAGTATTGCTAGCAATAGGACTATTTCGTGCCTTACTGGAGTAAGTACTACGTGGAGTATTTTGTCGCTTCTTACAAGTTAAAAAATAAATCATAACCAAATATAAATTTAAAAGGATGTAGTGAAATATTTGATAGCTCTTTAATCATAGTTTTTTGTTATATTCTTTTTTGGAGCAATCGATTATTATGATATCGCTGTTACTAGTTACATTTTAAATATTTCTGTATTTTTTCTTACAAACCCTCCCTCACACATTAGGTACAAGGCAAAAGACCTTTTATGAAAATGGAGGTTAAAACAATAAGTAACATAATTGTGGATAGACAAGTTAAAAATAGACTGCAGAATAAAAGAGTAATGATAATAATAAGGTAGAGTGATGATTTAGAAATCATATTAGAAACCAAAACCAATTACTGTAGGACAATACATATATGGGTACCTACTATTTATCTAGGGAAAGATCGGGTATATTGTCACATTTGGATCGTATTATTAGACAGGAATGGTATGTCAAGGTGTGACAAAACTATTTGTCTAATTATTATAACTATGAAGGACAAAGTATACGATTCAATATTTTATTAAAAGTTTTTTAACCATGCTGTCATCTGACAATTATGTACATAGAAGTCGCTGTTTTCGTCTGTACCTCTTCAAAACCACGCAACAGACTTTGATACGTTTGTCACTACCATTTTGGGAGTTTATGCTAGAAAATTCATAATTATAATACAGGTATATGATAAACTTATAACACTGCAGTTTACCCGTGCGAACCTGGGGTGGGTCGTTAGTAATTAATATCAAAAGATGAAAAAGAATGGTGATACCGCTATGACTAGTTTACATACATATTTTACTATACCATTTCCTTTTCAAGATAACGCCAAAACTATTAGTAAGATCTTAATGAATGTTATGTGGAAACACATGACAAGTACCAGCTTTAAAATACAAAACAATAATTAAAATCGGTTCACATACAAATAAGAAAACATACAGTCGAATTAAGAACGTCATTATTTTTAAGAGCCGGTTGGAAAGTAATCATAGTATGAATTAGCAGGCAGAGGGTTCTTAATAAGAGTGTGTTTTGATTTACTTCTGTACGTGTAACAAATATACACCTTTAATTAATATGATTAGAACCCTGTTGGTATAGATTAGATATTATATTATTTTAAATAGGTACTGGCATAATATGAGCTAAGTAACAAAGAGATCTATAATTATTGCAGATTTTTGTTTTAAGAACCCTTATATCAGGAATTTTTGCAATATGCATTCCTGTTAATACATCCTATGTTGTTAGAATATCCTCACACCATATTTTGTAAAATAGTAATAATTTTTTTTTATTATGGTTAGGTTCTAAATAATGAAAATGAATAGAAAAGTAATGAAAATTTCTAATCTATGACATTTATACATAATTTCTGATATATAATATAACACTGTGATAGATACATGAATGAATATAAAAAGTCGTAATACAATTCATATATTTTTGTTATGAATCCTAAAATACGTTTATATTCCTCTATAATATTTAAAATGTATTTATAGCAAGGGTTATTTCTGTTGTTTAGTAATCGTTATTTATTAACAGTGAATAAAATTTATGTAGGTAAAGGTGGACCTGAAACTATGAACTGCTAGAAGCTGTTTAGGAATTGCTGTAATGGATATTGGCATACTTAGGTGTATATAAATGACAAACAACTTATGTAGTCACTTTAAAATTATTAGGCAAGCATCTATTCTGATAGCTATTTGACTTCTCTAATAGTATTATATTATGTACATTATTGTACTATTTGTGTTGTACTTAGCATATGAATATGTTTGTTATTACTATTTTCAGAAATTAGAGCAAATATGAACTACTCATGCCAGTATAAACTTCGTAATAACGGATGCAATGATAAAGATTTTTTTCATTAAAATCTACAAAATATTCTTTTGGATTAGTTTACGTTGGAATTTGCTATGTTTCGTGAATAGTATAACATACCTAATATTTCCGGCCAGGAAATAAGTGAGTATATAAATATAAAGAACTGTTCAACGATGAGTAGATGTTATGTTAATATTTGTTATTAAATTGGAATACATTAATTTATAGATATTATTGTATACTAAAATGAATAACTATCAAGAACGTACCAGAAAAAAAATCCATGAATAGATGTTAATCATCTCGTCTTATAACAATAGGTGTACACCTCCAGAAATACACTCGCCAATTCTATTGTATTGAAAGAGACATGTCCACTTTTTCGGGTATTACTAATAAGATCATCTTAATGTAAATTACTGAGGAACGGTTAAATTCTGTTTATTTTTTTATTTATATTTGGCGGCTTCCGATACACTGTGCACAACTAAGCGAAACCTTCTAAATCGTTATTCAAAATTTCGAATTGGAAAAGCGATTTGCTTCTAGTACACGAGTGCCCTGCGCGCGCGCCGCATTCGACTACAACACCCAGCACTACTACTGACCTTGCCAATTAAGATTTTATTTTATTAATGCACTTTCTTATGACAATCATATCAGGTTGTAGCAGTCCAGCGGAGAACCAGACCGCGTACAAAATGATACACAAGACAAAGGGTTCTGTTAATACACAGCAAATTTATTGAAATAATTATTAGTAAACTTCAATAACGTGAATAATTTAAAAAGAGACATAAATGTTGCCTGCAATTAATTCAACACTTTGTTCTTTTTTTTAAAAGAAGATAATGAGAATTAATTAATAATTGGATACGTCCTGCGTTTTAATGGTACTGATTATGTGAAAATTAATGTCCGTAATAAGGGTCGTGTTCGTATTGCTGACCTCCGTAGTGCTGAACAGGAGCGGGGTACTGGGGCGCAATATAGTGCGGCGCCGGCGGATACACCGGCTCGTATTGTGGGTATGAGGCCTGGAAGTGATAACACAAATTGATTTACTAATAAAAAACACGTCATGGTAAGGATGGGATGGGGTCACACTTCTCAATGCCTACTGGTCTAAATTAGCATTAAATCAGATTTCAAATATTTTGAGAGATTCACAAGTCTAAATCGTGTGAATGGTACTATATAATATATTTAAGATATTTATTTCAAAAGCGATAGACCGTTATTTTCATGACAAATTAATATACATGAACTAAGGATAAAAAAGGATACACTGTGACGCCCGTGACAGCACACTTGTCCCGTAATTTCACTCTACAACTCCTTTTGCTAGCTACTTACTTACTTTATTTAGTTACAGAAATAACTGCGACAGAATTACTTTTGCAATAAAATATCACTATGACATAAAATTATTTATTGAATATTATGTAGGTAATATAACATTCCTCACCTGGTATACATACGGTTTCTTTTTGTCGTACGTATCGTGATGATGATTTTTTAATGGTTTTAAATGATTCTCCAGAAGATCTTTCACTTTTAGTCTGGTATCTAGCATATTCGCAGCCAGTGCTTTATCGAATGCTTTTAGTTCCTTGATCTTAGCTTTCAGAGCCCACACGCCGTCCTTCATGAGATCCAGCTTGCCAAGAGGGAGGTCCTCGGAGTACTGGTATTCGTCGTTATTATATGCTGGGGTGTCATATGCAGCACGGAATAAATGTTGCTCTTCGTCGTCCAAATCTGAATATCGCGGCACTATATGTCTTGATAATACTGTTTGTTAATATAGAAAATAAATTTATAAAGCTGTATAATAATAAATAACGGTTTTATTTTAATTAGTAAATTTAAGGTAGAATATTTGTATAATATACTTCACTTCTGTAACTATAATTTTTTTTGATAGAAAATGAAAGTAAGGATGATGATTTTCTTTACCAGTAATTCGTTTCACAAAAGAAAATAAAAACACCAAAAATGTATATCTCTTTTCAATAGAAAAGAGATATATATTTTTGAATCATAATTTATTATTATTTATAATAATAAATAATAATAAATTATGATTCGGAATTATTCAAGTCATCCAATACAAAAAACATGATAGCGAATTGAGAATCTCCTTTCTAAAGTCGGTCGAATAAATTACTTTATGTCAATTTAAGTAGTAAGTCTTCTGAACACATTGTATACATGGTGGACGTATTGCCAGATGGGACCCGTCAACTGTCGCGCTGATCGTCGATAATAATAATAATAATAATATATATATATATATACGAGTAGATATTATTATATTATATGTATGTGGGTACTATCAATAGAGAATAATTATTCAATTATTTTTAAAGGAAAATACAAAAATTTTATGATGTATTTAATTGACATATATAATACTAATATTATTTACAGAATAATAAAATTTGCAGTGAATAACCGATTTTTTAAATATTAATTATTATGTAAGTAGTAAATTCCTAATTGAATGTGCTATTACGGTAACCGCATGGTGATAATAGGTATTTCTCTGTAACTTTTTCGATTTTTATTGAAACAATAAAATGATATACTTACCGGGACTGAAGATAAGAACAAAATAAAATATTTCGTAGGACATTTCTTTTAGTAATGTTAAAAAAACTAATTTTGACACACGAGCTGATTAACCAATATGATGAATAACCAATTACTAAATTGATTCGTTTTAGACTTGAGTTTAAATATGTAAGTCATATTGAAATTTTAAACTACCCTCAATTAAACTTCTATGTGATCTCCGCTCATGCGATTGCTTACAAAATTGCTGTGCTAAAAAGAGTAAGTATCACAGATTTACATAAAAATATTTTGTTTCTGGCTAACCTTTATTTGATAAGAACCTGCAAAGAACCCCATTCGTATTTTTATTTCAATATTACCTGTATGTTATTTACTCCATCAGTCACATTCAATAACCATATTATTATTATGAGTTACTGGATATAGGTACCTATAGGTATAATTAATTAGGATGTAATTGATGTTATCAAAACCAATCTTAATTTTTTTTTAATTAGGTATTTCGGTTTTGATATATTAAGATGTCAAAGATTTGGTTACACAAAACAAAATAGGTACTTAAAGTCGTATAAAAAATAAACAGGTTTAGAAATTGTAGCATGTACCTAATAAAAAATAAAACTACAGATTCTATACGTAGTAGTATGCATTCATTTTTATTTAATGATTAATTATCCTTAATAATTTATTATGAGGTGTACTTATATATTCCCTTTCAGATGCGAAACTATTTTATTGAATCATATTTGTACAGTGATATCTGGGAGTCGCGGTTTCATGTTATCATGATCGTTATTTGCGTGACCTTTACAGTGTTCGTATATTTTATCGATAATAATATAACAACACTAAAGTACCATGAACTATTATATGAAGTACATAATCATATTATAATTCATTGAAATAAATTAGGTATAATCCATAACCGAATTGTGTACCTAGACATATTTTGTAATGTGATCTATCTGTATTTATATTAAATTTCGTTTAAAGTCTAATTATTGAGATGGGATTAAATCACAAAGATACAAAAATACTGAAAGGAAGCTCGGATGTAACTTAATTTCTTAAATTTAAATTGGATATTTTTAACTGTACTGTTTCTAGGACATATTTATTGAAAAGCAAAAAGTAATAATAATATATGGTAATATTAACACATATATTTGTATTCTAGATTTTTTTAAATGATGATTATGGTATATTGCACCAGTATGATTTACAGCTTTTGTAAGATATGTTTCGGTTGAAGGGTGAGATAAGGCAGTGAAATTACAGGTTACGGGTGACTTCTTAGTTTTCTGAGGCTCTGATGGCGTTACTAAGGAAGTAATGTCTGTAGTATTGTTGTGTCAGGTGCATTAGACCTGTAGCATTACGAATACATTGAAATATTGTGCATGCACTTTTACAAAGTTCGCTACCTAGACTCATATAGACAAGGATGGAATGGAAGGATATTATAGGCAGTGATCAAGTATATAGGCAACGGTTCCTATTTACAATTAGGTGGGCCGTTAGCTTCTTTGCCGTACATATAAAAATATAACAGAATTTGGGAGGTTGATGATCGCTCTTATGTAGCATTCTCTTTTCAAGACCTCGACGTCATTACAACTTTATTAGCATAATACGTTTGACACAAGTTCAATCAGCCATGAATTGCTTAGGTGACATAATTATATGTTAAAGTAGTTAAACTAGTTTATTAATTACTGTCAACCTATTTACTTCATTATGCCGTCTCATAGCTAATTGTGTGGTTATGTCTATATACTCATCTCATAGCATGTCATGGCGGACATTATAGCAATTAAATTCGGCCTGATTGAACTCAGGCCTTTTCATTTCGGTCTAAGTTAAGGAGGTCTAAGATATTATGAGATGTGATCTGTAATTTCAATTCCTTATGTGGAAGAGCCACGAACCGAAACAGTTTACAAAGCAGCTTAGCGGCTGATATAGGTGGACAAAGGCGTGACGACTTTTTACAAAGTCTCTCACGGGTACATATGTAGTACCTATACTAAAACATTGTATTAGATTTTCTGACTACTAAAACGAGGGTTATATTTTTACTGAATATAAATATATATGCAAACCAATTTGGCTATATTACCGGTTTTGAAATGATTATCATTGAATAAATAATGCTTATTTTGATTTCAATATTTCTCAGTGTGATATTGACTTTAATAAAGGCTACTGATACTATTAATGCCTACTATTATATTTAGGTGTAATTACAAATATTATAAAGTATGTATTTACCTACTACATTAAAATCACTTTTTTGCATTTAATTAAAACTCTAATACGACTATAATAAATTGCGTGTACCTACTTGTTGTAATAAATAGATATTTTGTTAGGATAATAATTATTTTAATCACTTAACATAAACATATGCTTGAAATACATATATGAACATTATAATTAACAAACGCTAACATATAATTTTACAATGTAAAGGAGGTACTTATAATAGATTGAACACATTTTGATTTATTTTTATTTACTTACTAAAATAATTATTTAATTACAAGAGACAGCTGACTAGTTCCAGTAACCGGAAATGTTTAAACTAATTACTATTATTAAGCGTATGAGATATCTACATATTAAATATGTACAGTAAATTTTAGTATATGACCAGATTATATTAGATTGGGTATTTCCAGGTGATGACAGAGTAAAAATTGAATTGCTGCCATTGTTGCGCGAATGGGGTTTCATGCTGGAAAAAATGTGCATGTAAATATAAACAAAGGAACGAGAAACAACGCGCTCCGCCAGCCGCGCATTCCCGCGATCTTCAATCGTGCGTGCTTTAGCGCCTATTTTTATTAATTAATTATCATTACAAAATGGCGGACATTTAACAGTGGAGCAAAGACATAATTGTAAAGTTATTGATAGTTTATTATTAATAAACCGTAAATTAACCGTATTTTTGGAAAATAACATCTGTAAAGGAAAGGTTAAAATATAATGATATGAAATGGAATATATGCGCTAAAAAGTGAACAAAAATAATAGTCCAATACAATTCCTAAATAAAGAATGTGTCGTCTAAATACAGCTAATGTAGTTTTTTCATGTCTAGAATTTTTGAACAAGAGCTGAACTTGAAGAATAAAACACAAATAGACTGATGTCTAAGAAAAAAAGTCGAACTAAAACTCAATACCGAACCGTGGCCATGGCAGCGTAGTATCTAATGGGAACCTGAACACATTCTCTAATGAAGAGCGATTCCTGCCCAGCAATGGAATAGATTGGTTGGGATTCTGTTTATACAAAAAATCTACTTGATTACAGATTTATATCTTAAATATATTAAAATTCTGATATTAATTATAATCGATTATTGATTTTGATTAAAGTAATTCAATCAACAATATAAAAGTTTACATTACGGTAGTACACATTCTAATAAATAAGCGTCGCCTATTTCATACAAACAGATAAAGGAGAACTTACATTTAACTATCGGTATATATTGGTTTTATTTATACAACAGTAGTGACAATCAAACATTTGAAGGTCATCGAATAAATTATAGACGCCTGAACAGGGGTGTGTCTGGTGTGCGTTGTCGACCCTTAACTTGAGATTACTAAGAAGATAACACCTGCGTACCTATTTGTAACAAATAATACCTATAATTATACAATACGTTATTTAGAGAAAAAACGAATTCTGAATATAGCATAAACTATTTTCTAAGAGTTACTATATTATATATATACTATGCTTAATTATAGCAACGAGTATTTTATAGGTTCGTGGCCTATTTCGGTTAGCGCTTATTCAAGATAAGCTTTTCATATAATAAATTAATTAATAAAATTGTACTAATCATAATCATATTTTAGCAAAAATCTTTTGCAATATTTTTATATTAAACTTACCCGAGGTGTTTCATTACTGGGTAATTATATAAAAAACCTTCTTTTTAGGTAGGTATAGGTAATAATAATCTCACTAAAAACATAATACAAGATACAGGAAGCTGCCGCTACCACCGCATCTAGCCATAGACCTGTGTGTACACCAAGTACCTATACGAGTATAATTTTTAGTAAAGAGGCTGCAGTACTTACACTTACTTCTTTAGGAACGCTTGATGAAATAGGGTTGACTTCTGTTTTTAACAACATAATAATATATATGATTAGTATGGTTAAGTTGGCGGGGCTCAAGTGAAGTATAGTATGATCCTCATATGATTTATACTATGAAGTTAGGTAGTTAATCCATCGTGGTGACAAGAGGAGTTTAACATGACGGCTTCCAGGGGAGACTGTGTGGAAAACTACTTGACTGCTGTGGGCTTATAAGTACAAATCTATATTACTAACAATTAACACCCCCAGAGACTTCACTTTAGATAGGTAGCCGATAGTTGAGGTATATTCTAAAACCGCACTATAAAATTATAAAAACCTTTACGCCAACCCTAAATCAATATAGTGATATACTCGTAGATAGAAAGATGACTTGTAGTCTTTGATTATCTTAAAAAATATATCAATGATTGTTCAATTAGTGGCGAGTAATGTCACGATGCTCTGCGGGGTCCCTCTAGAAGCGGGCGCGGCGCCGTGATTGTCACAAGGCGGCGCGACTTTTGTACAATTCATCGTCGAGGTCGAACGCTGGGTCTGCGTACCCAGAGTCATCGTAGCGCAATGACCTGAAACAGGGTTGTCAATAGGAGTCCAGCAATTGAGACACGGATTTTCAATTGTTATACAATAAAAGCGTAATGTGTAGACAAAATCACGAGAAAATCACGCTTTGAAATTTCAATATCGACTTTTTAATTACCTATTTTAAGATATGATAACTAGTAAAATAATAGTTCAACAACGTTGTCTTCAGTAATGTTCAGTCCAGGTTTCTAACTAAATACAGTAATGTGAATATCACAGACTGCATTCTTTTTTAGTTTATCCAATTTCTTAAGAAAAGTATCTTACTTATTTGTTTCTTACAATGAAATGAAATAACAATCAATTACGGACGATACAAATTAAAAGGTCAAATTAACGATAAAATTTAAAATAATTACGATATTAAGGGATACCCTGGGTGAGGCCAAAATTACCCCGTCACTATACGGATGCAAATCATTTATCTGTGTATGTTTGATTCGACGTCAGAAATCATGTCGTGTATACAAGATAATCGCATTCCATAAATGAGCTGCAATCATGTTCTTTCACATCTTACAAATAAGGTGTACCTAAAGAGTTTAAAGTCATTTATCCAGCGTCAGTTTTACTTGACACTATATTAATTTTGACCAAGGGACATAGGCATTTTACATGAATCAAAGTACCTACTATTCATAAATATATATGTGGGAATTTTTCATAGCCCTTAATACACAACAATTATGTTGCTATATCAGTTTATTACTTTACAAAAATATTTTTCTAACATATAATAATATATCTACATATTAATAAGAAACAAAAACTACTGTACTCCTTTTTATAAAACATTGCACGGACGGAGGAGTATCAAATGCATACTTATAGGTTATATAGTGAAGGAGTGAAGAATCCCAATATTTTTAAATTACTGCATAATAAATACATTAAATACTTAATAATAAAAATGTTACACACTAACCATGTACTTAACAAACACATGTTTATATGTGCATGCATGTATATACTTTTGTTTATTGCCTGTGTGACTGCCAGTGCTTGTGATTATAGAAGTATAGTTTTTGAAAAGAACCTTAATAATACTCAAAGTTATATTTTAAATAAATTACCATCGAATTTCAACCACTAGTCCTTACTAATATTATAAATGCGAAAGTAACTCTGTCTGTCTGTCTGTCTGTCTGTCTCGCTTTCACGCCAAAACTACTGAACAGATTTAAATGAAATTTGGTAACCATATAGTCTAGACGCCGAGGAAGGACATAGGCTACTTTTTAATGCGAAAAAAGGGTTGTAAGTGGTTGAAAATGGTAATGCAAGGTTATCTTTATGCGGTTGAATACACACTTATTATAATAATGGCTTAACTAAAAAATTTGATATTTTGGAAAGTCTACTTTATAATTGTGTTATTAAGTCTATTTTCAAAAATTTTTAATTTCTGAATTACACCAGTATTGTACTAGATATGCGACTTATTAACGCTCATATGTCATAAATAAACATATATGTCATTTGTATAAGCAGCGCGCGCAACTGATTATTGTCAATCCGTTGTCTGCTTATGAATTTAAATGAATAAACGTTTGCTCTGCAATTTTATTTTATAAATACATAAATATAATCCTGGTATAGCCTATAACTGATGACCCTGCTCTTGGACAAGAGCGTAAGAACATATTATTAATATTTTTGAAGAATAAAACAACATATAATATTAAAAATGTTGTCAATACATATGAACAACATTTCCTTGGAAGAAACAACATCTACCGTTCCATCCGAGCTATTCAGGTTCGGAATACGCGTTTCTCCATTCTGGCCAGTAGAGTCAGAGATATGGTTCGCGCAAGTAGAGGGATAGTTTGCAATTTAGAATATCACATCTATTATTTTGATTTAACAAAATTTTATTATGTTATTGGCCAACTGGACCACCAATTTTCAAAAGAATTTAAAGAAATGTTCAAAATGTTTATTAAATATAAATAAATATGACATTTAAATTTGTAAATATCACATTGTCACCATTCAAGGGGTAAAATAAAATAGCAGATAAAAGTTTTTATGGAAATTCGTCATATTTGAAGCTAGAACGATGAAGCTTTTTTCTTACGCTTTTTTGGGTCAGTTTATTTAATAAATACCTTACTAATATTATGAAAGTGAAAGTGACTCTGTCTGTCTGTCTTAAAAGCCAAAACTTCTGAACTGATTTAAATGAAATTTAAAGTCTAGATCTTGAGATAGGACATAGGTTACTTTTTAATGCTAAAAAGGGTTATAAGAGACTGAAAGAGGAATTTTTTAAAAGTTTAAACTTCAATCTTATTTTTTTGCGTATTGATTAAATATAATTAACGAAAATGGGTTGTAAGGGTCAAAATGGGAGTTAAAATGTTGTATGCATGTATTGTCATTTTTTAAAGCTAGAAACTTGAAACCCATTTTTTAGGCTGTTGAGAAAATATCAGTACCTACCGCCACAGGACTCAGCCATAAATGGTTACAGTATAGCGACATCTTATCATTGGTACATGATGACACTAATATAAGTAGCATTAAAAAAAACAAGAAAAAGGGTTATAAGGGGTTGAAAGGGGAGATGTAATGTATGTATGGTATGTATGGAAGTATCTTCATTTTAAAGATAGTAGTTTGAAACATAGTTTTTGGCTGTTGATTGAATTGTATGGAATTATGTATGGAAATTTCATTTTTGAAGCTAGAACGATGAAACTTTTTTATTGGGTTAGATTATTAATATAGATTTTTTATTATTTGCTCAAGGTCACTATTTTCGCGGACGAAGTCGCGGGTACAGCTAGTTTAATATATAATAACATTTACAAGGCTATGTGGTTATACTTGGTATAGTAAGCCGAGATACAGTGGAAAATTGTAAACTATTTTTAAAACTTGATACGAACTGTGCTATCATTTGCTATGACTTAATTATTGACCATTGTGTTTTATAATTAAAATAGTTGACTTTAATAGGTATTTCCTATATGTACTACTAATATTTATAAATGTTCTTCTGCTGTCAGGACAGTTAGGTAACTATAGCTGGTTGGATTAACTTTATGAGTGTAAAGATGCAATTTTATAAATCGTCCTGCCGTCTTAAACATTTCAAGGAGCTTACATGGTTATTAATGAATACTTTACATTAGTATATAATTATCGATATTACCTTTCCGGCGTTCTGGTTCTGCATCTGGAAGGCGGTGGTGAACGGGAGGAAGCGCGCAGTAGTGCAGGATCATCATATCTTCGCGACACCACAGTGAAATCATGATGAGCGTCGATCAACTTTTGGAGTCTGGATACCATCTCGAAGTCCGATACCGAAGCTGGTACCAATATTCCGAGGAGCTTAGCGATGGAATGCCTACATAAATATTGAAACTGTATCATTATGTAATTTTTAATGAATTTGGATATTTAATATATCAGGTTGCTATTAATAAATCTCAATGAAACAGATTCAAACAATGTACAATTTTGCAATTGCCTATGGTATATTTTTTGGGCTATTATCATTAATAGCCCAAAAAATATTCCATAGGCAATATATCCAAACCCATTGATATTTATCTATTACGATTGAGAATTGTTAGCAATATATCAGCTTCTATATCAGGCCTCTGACATATTAAGACTTCATCTCACACCTAGTTCACATCAGAAAACATCTAAATTTATTACCCTAATTTCGGTAGTATGTGTGCAATGAATTCATTTTCAAATTTGTCAATAAATAAATGATTACCTAAAGCTGAGTAACTGAGCTTCTCGTCTCTGGCATTCAGCAAGGAGTTCTTTGGTTCTAGCCAAGTCATCCCTCAGCATTGAAATCTGGTGTTCAGTCGTATTGCGTTCTTGTTCAAATGTTTCACCGGTCGCTCTGACTTGGTCTTTTAGTACATTCACTTTGCGGTTATATCGCGCCCGTAAAAGATCTGCCTCGTCTAGTTTCTTTTGTAAATCCTCGACTTTGCGTGCGCGTTCCAGAGATGTTATCTGATATTAAAATATTTTTAATGGGTGTAAAAATACATTTATTCTCTTATAGAGATACTTATACAATAATATGTATACCTATGCACATTTAAATTATATAGACGACTGAGCTTTGAAATACTATTTAAAACTGTAAACGACCACAGCACACGCGCACACATTCACTTCTAAGGAAAATATTGTTTAAAACATTGAATAAAAATATATTACGAAAAGGTAAATTTACTTTATCTATTTACAAAATAATATCTTTAGAAATAAATATTGTTAGGTTTGTGCATTAAAAATTCACATAATATAAAGTTAAATATATATATATATACATTCACATAATATAAAGTTAAATATGTATATATATATATATTATTTTTTATTATTAAACAGTGATTAAACTAAACGCTACAATATTTTATAAAGATTAGGTTTCAATCAATAAATACAACAACAATACGCATGATAAAGATAAAGTTTTATTATCTACATTTTGTGGAAATAATATTATTTAATTTAATAGAATCAAAGCATAAACGCATAAATCTGGATGAGGCCTGCATTTCGCGTCAATCAAAAGTCGACTTTCGTATGTTACAGAATATACTCATGTTAGAATTTTTATACAGTCCAGATTAAATCAACTGCGTTATGAATGCTTCTGTATCACCTATTTAGTACTTTAGTTATTATAAACTGTAATATATGGATAACGTAGCATGGGATCTAGGGATATGGAGAATGTTTCACTGAATGTTTCAGAATCACAAATTTAATTAACTTTAGTGTAACATTTTACATACTTGCGGCCAACTAGTATAATAAAATCGTAACGAGGTGAAAACTATTTTTTTTATTATGTTTTAAGGTTTCACGTAATTAAGGTACATCCGCAGAATATTTTGTTTTTTATGGGTTACATAATAGGTATATTGAACATAAAGGCTAAACCTGAGAAAAATACGACATAGAGTTTTAAGTTAAGAAATTATATTTTGTCAGCATTAAACCATCTACAATTAATTAATTATTCCTAGTCCAATTTATTGTTGTATTGTTTCTTTTCCTTGTGTATTGATATGTATGTCTTACTTTCTTTGTCATGAAGTCCATGAAATGGCATCATAAGAGGAGAAGTTTCATTCAGATAACATTTTTTTGTCTTTATGTCGTTTTATGTCCGTTTGGTTTCATTCCGTATTTCAATAGCATAAACGTGCTTAATATAAAATGTCACGAAATATCATATAAGTGACAAGTTTCTGTTTATTTTAATTTTCCTTTATTATAATTTATTGTATAACATTGCATATCTTCTAAGAAATAACTAGTTTAATGTGACCAATAGCACGATTACCTCGATCTTGATCAATGGTTCTCAAAGAAATCAGATTTTGTTTGATCTTTGAAGTGAACGAACGGCTATTTATAGTGAAATTATATTATTAAGATCATGAGGGAAATTTACCTTTTACTGATTTAAGATTTACTAATACTTATATTAATAAAATAAAACAAAGTTTTCGTTCCTGAAAATAAAGGTTACATGCTTCACTGTTATATAATGAAATCAGACATTTTTAATATAATAAATACGCCAGCTCTTGAAAAAGCCGTTTTTAATATTTTAATACTAGAAGGAACTACAATATACATTTGAGAACCTATGGGCTAGACAGTCATGCCTTTTAATCGTGACCGGAGAAACAAGGTGTTCTACCGTGGGTTCAGATATCGAGGCCTCTGCCACATTCCAATTGGATGTTACACTTTGAGTTATATACAATTAATTATTTTTGATATACCTACATCTCTTTTTAATACAATTGTATAAAAATATTATTATTGTTATGCATTCATTGTTTTAGAATTCGTATATAATATATTATACATACGAACGTAGTTTCGGAGATAATTTCTTATTAATTAATAAGTAATTGTACAACAGATAATTTATTAACCACAAAATATGAAAAAAAAGTAATAATTATTCAAGTCTCAGTTTTCTTATTTTAAAACTTAGTCTAGTCTGTATCTTTTTAAATTCAAAATTACTTAAATGAGAGGATATATTTATACCTAGTTTATAATAATATATTATGTTATAAACATACGTTTTCGTATTCTATAGATTTTTTTATTTTACTTGCCTAGTCAAACAAAATAGAAACTAGAATTTTAATTTATTAAATTTTCCGTTCTTTGATTGCACTTGTACATACTTTTAGTAATACCCTAAAAGGCGAAACCGGTCTAGTAAAATAAAAAAGATAATCTGCGAATAAGGACGTATGGGTTTATAAAATGCATTCAAAGTTCCACAAAGGCTAACAGTTACTAGTAATGATGTAGTTCCAAATTTCTTTCTTTTTTGCAACAAATTATATAAAAAAGACAATATTTTTTTGCATTATTTTAAAATAGAATATTTCTATCCGATCTCCATTTAATACGAAAATAATCTAATTACTCACATACATTATGACCTAGTATTAATAAGCCAACTAAAGTACAAACAAAAATGGGGATATTTATAGACAAAATAAGGCTTTCTTCTAGTGAATATATTATTTTTATTCAAACGTACAAATGCATATAATTTTGTTAGCGAATTACAATAGCTTAATACGAATGAGATCACGTTTATCTTGAGAAAATTATTTTAACCTTGCTCGTAAATTATTCCAGTAAATCCACTATACCTATGCTTTGGAATTTTAATGTTAAAGCTTACAACTGAGTGTTTAGATTGTATTTCTTATACTTCCTTGAGAAATTATTAAATAGAGTTATAGATAGCTGTAGATATATTTATTTAGGCTATTTGTAATCAATGCTTTTGAATTTAGAAATAAAGTATTAAAACAGATTGTAGTTCAAAGATTTGTAAAACCTAACTTTTTTATGTGTAACTGGAATGGCAATTAAGTCCATTCTCCATTTGATTTAATATTACGTTGTAATGTCTCCTTATCCTGTAACATATGTTACAGTTCAACTAAGGCATATTATACATAAGCATAGCAAGTTTATTAAACATATAGCCTTCAAATGATATAGGTGAAATAGGACGTATCCACGCAGGCGATATTGTATAAAATCTCCCTCGGTTTACTTTTTAAATAAGTTGAATAAGCTATGTCCTATATATATATTTTTAGGTTAAAATTTGGTAGTTATTACACCAAACGCTACTTCTGATTTATATTGCAGTTAGTATAGTTTAGAATTTAGTTAGTATAATGAAGGGATCTCTTACTAATATTAAAAACGCAGAAGTTTGTGCGTGTAGATGGATGGATAGGTGTTTATTACTCTTTCACGAAAAACTACTGAATGGATTTTATTAAAACTTTAAAACAATAATATTCCTTCACCATCAGAATAACATATAGGATCAGAATCACATCAGATTACATCAAAAGGAATAATAAATTTCACGTAGGTGAAACCGCAGACACAGATTGTATAATAAATTTTGTCTTTACCTGTGTTAATAATAATTAACAAAAAACAATATTTTATAATCTGTTCTCATATTCTCTATAAATTTTTTTTAATAGAAGTTTTGTCAAGAGTTTGTAATGGGTGTTAAATTTACCTTGTACTCGGCTGCATCTGCCAGTTGTGCATTGAGATCTCGTATCTGAGCGCGAGCGTCGCTCAGCTGCACAGCTAGTTTGTCGCATTGCCGAGCCAGCTTCTTGCTGCGCGTCACTCCTTCATCTCGTTCTGCTTGCAGCACAGCACGAACGCGGGACCCTTCCTCCTGATTATAGTATATGAACCATTAAATAACTACTGTTTGTTTGCGCACATCTAAATTTGGCGTTTGATCGGTTCGGTCGATCTCGGATCCGCGGATCGTCACTAATTGAAGTATGAGTAGCTTGTTAGTTGCATTAGTAGTTTATATTAAATTAGATGACCCATCTGATGGAAAGTGGCAATCGTTGACTACATGAACAGTATTGCCATTCTTGAAAAATGATAAGATGATATGCCTACGTACCCTGTAATTTCACTTACATATCGTTGTTTTTGAGTTGAGTTTGCTCAACTATGAAGACAATAAAAAAAAGATAATCTGACAATTAGAGGACTATCAAGTCATCGTACTTAGAGTTATATAATATTGTATTACAATCGGACGGGCTGTAGGATGGAAAATTTTGATGTAAATGAGGTATACTAGGGATGTCCTGTGGCGAAATATCCAAGGTGTTGTTCATTTATACAGGCGAGGGGTACCAACTTCAATACTTGGCAACCGTCAGCCAGTCTCTCATGTTTGTAGTTATATAAGAAAAATCTATTACTAAGACTAAATATTCTGCATGGGTACCATTTTGATACCATATATATTATAGTAGACATGGTAAGCTTTATTTAACTATCTTATTTATTGGCGGGGTTCGTATTGGCGACAATGAAAAGAGAGACAGCATATTAAACCGCTGCATAATCAAGGTCGCCCACTAATATTTATAAGTGATACTTGAGTACACACATTAGGTAATTCTAATTTGTTAATATTAAAAACTCATTAATATAGTAATGAATCTGGCGACTAATGATAAGAATAGGTAATCTAACTATATGTTTTAAAAGCAAATACGTATCTACATCAATTTCCTTATTTAGACAATGCAAAAACCTTATCGTTAGATCGTGCGTAACGTTAAAATCACGAATGTCTGTAATAATGTGTGTAAAATTAGATACAAGTTAAGTTTAAATTAAGGACAAAAGTACGTCTCATTTACGTAGTGTGCATATCTTTATCTAGGTTCTGATATATCTATTATTAAATAGTTTTATTAAGAAAATACTATGTAATGTCCTGTACTTCTTACGACAGATAAAATTGCTAAGGAAAATATTTTTAATTACTGCATATTTCCACCAGTATTGCGATGAGAATTATTTTTTAAACATGTAAATTAATTACTATGTAATTTCTTACTCTTCGATCAAACGTGTGAATTTAGAAGACTCTGTGACGTATGATACTTAACCTACGTATCTGCCAACTCCCATGTAAAATACGTACCTACTTATTCAGAACATAGAACGGTTGACATCACCAATTTTTATAGTTATTTTTTATTTTAATAAGGTAATATAGTATAAGTGTGTATGAAATAATAATTGCAATCAATACATAAGTTATAAAAAAAACAATTAATATATTTCCCAAATTTACGGAGAGTCTACCACTTAGGTAAACATAAATTTTACATAGGTATATGTCATGTATGTGGCAAAGAAATGGAACAGTTTTTTCTTACTTCCACATATAAATAGGCAAGAAGTTCTAAGTATTCTATTGTAGACTGACTGACCTGAATGCTCAGCTTTCGTCGCAATAAATCTAAATGCAAGTCTTTCCTCTGCAGTTGCTCCCTAAGGATTCTTATTCTTCGTTGCAATTGATATACGACAGCAGTCTGGAATAATTATAATAACATAAATGTGAAGGAAAACATAAGACATTTATTAAAAATATGAACCTGGAAGTGTATAAATGTAGTGAGTTACTATAAATACTTTATACCTACCTGATTATAACCGTTAAACTGCTGTGATCTCAATACGTTAAAAATAAAGAATAAATTTGAACAATAAGCATGAACAGTGAGTGAAAATGCCAATACATTTATACTAACAATAAATTAAACACGACCAAAAATAAAATAGGATGTATGTAGGTACCTACGAACAATACTAAATGTCAGGTGTTTATAATAGGCGTACTATATTTAACAATATGCTGTATAACTTTATTTTTACTTTTCAGTGATGATTAATTACTGATAATTAAGTTGAATTACAAAGAGTGTATTATTAATAATTGGTGCAGTCAGTATCTATAGATATAGGTAGGTACGTATATTATTTTCAATAGTGTTTAGTAGGCATCTATTAGCAGACAACACTATTTACTCGAAAGTAAATATTAACCTACTTGAATGTCATGCCAAATCCGAATGATAGAAATCTTACTTCTTTAAGATAAGGCAAATCATGGAATGACCTTTCTCTGCGCAGTCTCGGCAGTGTGCCGTAGTATCCGTAATATAGCATCTAAATACATAAAAGACACTGATTAGCACACAATACAATACTCAAACATAAATATGTACATAAATAATAAATATTCTGAATAAAAGGCGTAGGCTAAATAAAAAACATAACTGAACACGTATATTAAAGCAACTTCCTCTAGTTGTGATCACAGGATGTTGTTTTTAATAGCTATTGTTGGAAGGTTTTAGAAATTATTAAAAACCCAATACGCATAAAATGATCTCTCTTGATTTATAAAATCAAAAATGGAATGTAAAGGTCATCAAAAAACATGATGTGATCAAGTATAGTATACAAAAGAAAATTGGAGTATCATTTATGAAATATATTTGAAAATCAAATTAAAAACGTGAAGTAAAGGAAACCTATATTTTGGATTCGAATCATAATTTTTAATGGAACGTATTTTGATCAATAAATATAAAGGTTGAAGTCGATTATGGAGGTGGAACCGATGTGTAATTTTATAAAATACATTCAAGATTTACTATACATCCTGAACGCCTACCATTATTACCACGGTCAAATTGTTTATTAAATAGGTACTTAATAAAGACTTGAATATAAATCGAACTCGCACTTAATGGTCAATATTACAATTATTATAAAGTTACGTCTTTAACAAAAATATATGTGTCTAACAAAAGTGTACCTGTGTTTCATTGTTCAATGGAGATATAATAGTGTGTTTGTATTATGATCATAATGTAATAAATTGTTGTTAATATAACTCTCATTATTTCTTTTTTCTAATAATTAAACAGAAGTGAGTATTAAATATAGTATTAACAACATCCTGTAGACCACAGCTATCATTTCCCGTAATGTACCGGCTACTGCATCGTAACAGCTGACCTTGTCAACAATTTTATCACTCTCGAGCCTCGCCAGTTGCTCTGCACGGTGGATAATGGATTCGGTGTGTAGCTCTATGCCAATATCCTGGGTCAACTCATCCATATTTAGCGTTCTGCCCAGGCGCTCAAGGAATGCTACAAACTGTAACAATAAAACATTTAACGCGAATCATTGTTTCCGCGTTCTTGTTAGCCATTGATGTTATTAAAATGGATTGCTGTAACTGTCATGTGGCACATTAAAGTTTAAAGTAGTTTTTAATGGTAATTTTAATTATTTCAATAATATCAATTTGTTTTTTAATGTATATCGTACAGGTAAAGTTTAGGAAACTAGATCGTATAATTACAGCAAATCAAGATAATTTGATATCATAATAACTAATAACTGACTTTGCTTTAAATGACATTTCCTTTATTAATATGTTATATACGAAATAAATATTTAATTTAAAATAAATTGTATAATAAATACACTATATTGCATTGAAATGTACTTTAGTATAAAATATAAATATACATTTGTACATCCGTTGAGTATGATGAACATTTAATAACTTTAATCAAGTAATAATAATCATAAATAAATAAATAGAATCCCGTAGTTGTGAATATGCCAAAAGAGAAACAATGGTTTACAAAATAAACAAAAATGTTTTTATATCATTTGATTATTCATTGTTGCATATAATTATTTTTATCTGTAGTGTTACAATTAGATATGGTAAAAACAATAACATAACAAGATTATAAAATAAATGAAATTTATAAATAAATAACTTACGTTAGCTTTGTCCTTCCGCAAACTGTCTCGAGAAAGTTCGACGGCATTGAGTTCAGACTCGAGTTTGTGCACTTTGGCTTCGAGCATATTACGCTCGTCTTCAAGTATGCGCACTCTTGTCGTAGCCTGATCATGTAGATGTGCCGTTCTGCTTAGCTGCTGGGATTCAGAGCCTAACTTATCGCGAAGTGCATCTAATTGCTATTGATTAAAATAAAATAGTCAATGTAATGTCTTATGCTATAATTACTTATGCTTATAAAATAAAATAATAACTTATTTATTATGAAGATTGGGAATGTTTTAGAAAATATAGAGATTTTTAAATATATCCAATGATACATGCTTAATTAGACGATAATTAAATACAGGTAGGCACCTTTTTATATGTAAGACAATAAAATAATGACCATTAGGGCGTTAATTAAAAAAGCGATTAAAGGCATGTATATAATATATTAAGCAATTTGCAAAGTCATGTTGGTGTATTTTATAGATAACTTACCACAGTGCGGTCTTTATTTTCACTTAATATTTCACGTATTCTGTCTTTTATTGTGCTCTCATGTGCCTCAACAAAACGAGTAGGCAAACTGAGCAAGATTGCAAGCGATTCCATAGTATTTCGAAATTCCGTTTGGAGTCTTTGATATTTTTCCTCACGGTGCCTCAAATCCTCTGAAAAAAACTAATTATCATAGTATCTCTGCTTTTACGAAAATCAATTTTTTTTTTAAATAAGTACCTATACCTAGTTGTTACTCATAACGTACCTTTTAGTTGCACTATTATAGATTCATTCTGATTTACGTTATCTGTAACAACGTTTAAATTCTTGGAACAATGCGATAATTTGTCTCTTGCTTCAAGAAGTTCTCGTTCTATAACTCTGTTTTGCACAGTTAATGATTCCTTTTCTTGTTTGAGCCTTTCGATATCTAAAATATGCGAAGATAACTGTCGTTGTAGCATATCTTTGTCCGTGTTTGATCTTTCCAAAGCATCTCTGCAACTCCTTAAATCCTGTTCTACGCTCGATAAGTTCTCTGTTGTGTTCATGCACTTATTCTTTAATCTTGTGATTTCTTGTACAAGTTCTGCGGCTTTTATAATCAAAGTTTCAGGAGAATGTGTATGTGTAGTGTCACAAAAATCAAAATCAAGTGCGGACGATAATCTACGAACCAGGTCGTGAAATTGGCAACGTGCATTTTCTTTCTGCTGCTCTTCATTATTGCACTCCAATTCAAGGGATCTTAATTTTTTTTCCAAGTCTTTTATTTTCTCTTCACAGTAGCGATTGTCTCTTTGTAAAGTTTGCACAGTAAGATCAGTTCTACCTTGGGATGCATGTAAATTTCTCTGTATTTCTTCGTAATCTTGTAGTTTCTTTTTAAGGGATGATATGATAGCATTTTGTCGTGCATTTTGTTCACGAAGGTGGTCTATTTCAACCTGTTGTTCTAATATTCGTTGATCGCGGGAAAGCATTTGATTTTTTAAATCACTATTCTGGAAAATACCTTTAAAGAATAAGTAAACGAATAAATAAAGTAATAACGGTTTATTGTGAAATAAAACTCACTTCAGATAACAATTTATCCCGTTTATATTGTAGAGCAGCAAGATCACTTCTTAAAGCTGTGATTACGTCATTACCAACATCTGCATCCATCTGTAAATTATATATTTGTTTAATAAACCCAAAATAGGAACGTTGTCTCCGAAATAACTTCCGTAAGACTATTTTTACAATTACTGATACAATATTCAGATACTATAAAAGTATAAAATGCATTAGACTATATATTTTGTCAAGGACATAATTTGTCAAGGAAGATTGCAAAATAAGGAAGATGTAAAAATTTACTCTAATAGTAACTTACAAAACTTCATGATACTGCTTTTATTTGACGTATGTATGATGAGATTTGAAAAAGGACAGTTTGATTTGGCGTGCAAAAGACGACTACTGGTAATAAGTGCTCTGAAATGTAGCGTGATACGGGTCGCTATTTCAAGTCACGATATCTTCATGCTCACTATGCCAACTTACATTGGTTATTTGCATGAAACTGGGGAGAGTTCCCCACCAAATTGTTATTTCGTTTAGCTTATTGATTGGATAACGAGGTCGCGACGTTTTTGAGTTACTACGACTGAATAAGGAGCGTACCATTGAAATATAAAAACCTTTTTAAAAGGAGGGATGAAGCTATGACCTGCATGTTATTTATAGTTAGCTATGTTTATGTCTTAGAGAAATCGGTACGAGGTACGGGATTGCCCTTCGTGCATTCATATTAAGGAATGTATCTACAAAGTGTATGTATATACCTACATATATATATTGATTTAGTGGGATCATAAGCATTGGAGCATTTTAGAGAGGAAATATTTATATAGAAAAAGATGGTAATGCTAGATTTTTTTTAGTTGGTACTTATTTAATAGGTATAATTTTTAAACTTGTAGTGATCTTGATGAGTGTTTTTGGAAGTGGAAAATGATAAGAATTTAGTCGGTAGGTATGACTTTAAAAGTATTTGTCTCATAAGGCCATGCAATTGGATAACAATTGTCGTGCCAAGTTCATGAAAATATTTCTGTTAACATAATTTAATTTAATGAAGGCCATGATTATTATAATATTATATTATTAATTAGTATAGGTTATGTCACATAGTTGTGTTATCTACGTGTGTTAAAAGATTAACATCTTCAGATCAACATCAGTCCGCCTTTTTCAAATCTATTTTTAATTTTAGTATTATGTGTAGGTATAAATTCTATATGTGTGTAGTGTAATAAACCTATATACTTATAGAGTATTTTTTTTTATAAAAATCGATAAGCAAATGTTACTGTAGTGATTATGAGCATATGTTTAGGTAATTAACATATATCCGCTCTTTGTCGTGTATGTCCACTCTACTGTATCCGAGACTTTGTTTTCTCGGCGAGTGACAACTATACAGGCAGAGGAAAATATATGTAATTTACTGTATACGGTTATCTGTGTAACGAAGTAACAATAAAACGTGCCTCTAAAATATTGTAAGAACCAACTAGGGGAATAAAATAAGATTAATTATTCTTCTTAGGGAATAAAACATATCCTACGTCTGATGTCTAGCATTTACACAACTTATATATTCGTATGTAGACAATGACCTAAATATTACGGCTGATAGGGATACTGATCTCACAGCGCAGAGAAATAATGTGGATTAAAAGCTAGGCAATTGTATCTATATGTACACAGGATTTCTATAAAATATTGATACATAACAATAAGTAGATTACACAATAATTAATAAAAATGAATTAGTAATAGGAACTATTGACAATTCAAATTAATTCATTGTTGATCTCCACAAGGTTGCCCCCTGGAAAATATCGTAGGTAATTCCTGGTTCATTCTTCATGTTTGACTAAATTACAAGACTTTATGTTCATTTATATATTGTCAATATGTAGGTATATATTGGCTGGAAACCAATGGAAAGTGATAGGTAGGTACCTACGGTTAGCTTAGTCGGATGCACAATTCCATATTTATGAAAAAAAAAAAAATTGAAAAGATCGATGGATTGGTAGGTATTGCAGGCATTCATGGGTCTTGAGGTGTCGTAATAGTACAACTGATATGAATACTTATATACATTTTTTTTCTAAATACATATATATACCTAATATACATAGAAACCACCCAGACCGATACAAACAATCATAGTTATGAATACTAATGCTTGCACCGTGAGAGGAATCGAATTCGCTACCATCGGAAGTAAAGCGGTGTGCTAAATCGCTAGATCACCGAGGCTAAATGCAACCCAAGATTAGTTTTGCGAACGGGTATCTTGCAAGACATCTTTATTCTTATTCTACTTCACCAAGGACCGGTAAATTACACTGGTAATATTGTCTGTAGCCAATTAAATAATCACAATCAGTCTACACAATAGTTATACACATAATAATATAATCTTAATAATAGTATAAACGCGAAAGTTTGTAAGTATGGATGTTTGTTACTATTTCACGCAAAGACTACTGAACGGATTTTGACGAAACTTTACAGTAATATAGCATATTAATGAGAATAACCTATAGGCTATATCTTATATTGAAATTTAAAGCAGGTGACCCGCGGGCATTGCTAGTAGGTATATAGTTTTATATAACTACATAGATAATTAACAAATAATATATAGTTAATATAAAGTTGCATTATTTATCTACTAAACGTATTCTTAAAAAATATGTATAAAACACAGAAAAACAATAGACTAATTCATCTTGATTTGAGAACCACATAATTTTGGCAGTCAGTTGAAAACGTAGCAGACACAACATTGACCATAGAAATAATCAAATAATATCATTATTATTGACAATGACAACATTATTTCTTGAAGTAATTTAAGTTGTAATTTAGTATTTATATTACATATCTTCAAAAAGTAGCATAGGTATTTTGAATTATATGATACGTAGGTTATTGAAATTATGTAAACATTGTTTTGGAAATACGATTTAAAAGGTTCTTTTGGCTTACCTCGGTGGGACTTTTACTGCACAGTGCCTCAAAAACTTTCCAATCTTCGGCTTCTTCTTTCGCCTTATCCTCGTCCATCACTGCAATTATTTATACGGTATGTTTCAGGGGTACACACTGTCTGACCGCCGTTGCTATGAACAGTGTCTACGTCAACAAGAAAATCGATTTTACTTTCACGTTTCATTGTGTGGAAAACTTTTATCAGTGTTTTGTATATTTCAACTTCTATAGAAAACGGGTTGAAAAAAGTTTATTTTGATAAATGGTATTCATGATAGATGAATAATGTGTTGTTGTGGTACTGAATTGATCTATTGGCATTTATGAATAGTAGGTAGCTAGCTACCTATCTGACCATGTAGGTAATTTTGTTAAGATTAACATATAAAAAAATGCTACGTAAATGCAAAATCTAACCAGTTTTCAGTTCACAGACAAACTAGATATTATCCGTTGAAAATTACATCCAGGAAGAGTAAACAGGAAACGGAAGTCGTAATATTGTGTGCCGTTAAGAAATATTTTTCTGTTATCGTTGGTATGCGATTTACATTCCAGTTAAAAAAAATCTATGAAAAACTGTTAGCTTAGAAAACGTTTAATTTAAACAGATAGTCTATTATTATGATGATAATAAGATAAAAAAAGAAGTTGTCTGTGAGTAATGGATTACGATTTTTTTTTATATTTTAGAGACATTATTATTATTAAACTAGCTACTCACCTCGGCTTTGCCGGTTGTACAAGTATTATTCATGTAAACCTTCCTATTGAATCACTCTATCTATTAAAAAAAACCGCATCAAAATCCGTTGGATAGTTTAAAGATTTAAGCATACCTACATAGGGCCGGACAGACAACGACAGCGACTTTGTTTTATAATATGTAATAATGATAATGATACAAAATTTAAGAAAGTTATAATTTTTGTCAATGGATTGTAATATAACGCTAACGATGTACGCTGGCGGGGTACCAGTGGAGTTTGACGAGTGGATAGGACGAGTTTTATATGATAACGTAACGTAACGTAACTGTAGGTCAGTTACGTTACGTTATGTTATCATATAACGTAACGTAATAAAGTTAGGTCAGTTAGTCCATCTTGGCGACTTTTTTTATGCCACGATGGTAGCATACAAGCATATGGCCCATCCGCTGGTAAAATGTCAATACAATTTCACCAGGAATAAGTCGTCGGTTATCAAGTGAGACCCATGAAAGGTCGGCCTGATATGGTAGGGAGAGTGAGGTTTGTTAATAATATGGACTAATAACCCTATTGCTAGCAATGTACCATGTCATGTTGGCTCTGAAAACCATTTGGATGAGCCAACTGACCTGACTTCATGCTCATTTTATCATCCTTCACAGGCGCCCCGCCAATGTAAACCGTCTGCAGCAGGCGGGTGCATCATTCTGTTATCATACATAATCCCTGACATGGTATATTGCTAGCATGAGTATATTCATTGCTAACAATACCCTTTCCCCCTGGAATGGCCATGATGGGCTAATAAAATGTTAAGTGAATTTAAAATAATACACTGTAGATGTAGGTAATAAATAATAATTTTATTTCTTGTATATATATATACATAAGTACATACACATAGGTGCAATTTATAAATATTACTTCTGTATCATAATTAAAAAATAAAATTGTATCAGGCTCAAACAATTTCTTTAGCAATCCAAAGCTATGCTTTGGGTCAGATATAGGATATAAAAATAAACTATATAAAATAAAAAGATCCTTTAAATCTTATATTATTATTAATAATAATTAAATTAAATAATAGTTTCAGAGGTTGTTTGTAGATAGGTTGTTTTGTTTTTAACAGAATGTTTAAGAGAATTTGGCATTAACAAAATCTAAGGAAAGCGACTATAAATTTCATATCAGCAATTGATAATGAGTGTACCAAAAGATCAATATGGTTTTTACATATAAATATAATGCAAACTCAAACATAAATATATAATCTTGGAGAATATACATATGTATTTTAAGTATTAAATACTAAATTCTTCTGGATCCGGTCAGATTTTCTTTGCTGGGGCAGGTGGATGTTCGGTTAAAATTCAGCTAATTCATTTGCTTTGAAATTCAATGCTGAAATTAAAAATAAAACTGTTAACAACTGGTAACAACTACTAGGAATTTTGCACTTTTGAAAAAAAAAAGATAACTTAGTATATATTATACATTTGTATCATAAAATACTCACAAATACAAGTACATATTTATGTACTTGTATTTCTATGATTTCTATGAATATTATGTATACGTAAACTATAGAAGAATTTCTATTAGTTGTTTAGTACCCATGTCACAAGCTCCGATTGGATGGTGCTCTGTGAATTGTTCTAGGTTAATTTATTTATGGCATCTGCTACATTCACATTAATTCACATGCATATACTTTTTGGTACATCATGTGGATACATATAGTTTATTGACTTGATAGCATGAGAAGTTACAAGGATTTATTATGTACATATATGAATAATGAAAATATTTATTTTATTAATTTGTGTTATTTTATAGAAGCCCATAATAATATAAATCCATTAAATATTCACAAGTCCTCACTCCGTTACAGATATATCAACATTAGTAATCTATACATATAAATAAAATTGGAGTGACTGTCTGTAATATTGAACTAACCGTTTTTTACTATATGCATATGAATATAAATATGGTATATACGCCAAAATAACATTTTTTACAATTTTTGTCTGTTTGTTCCGGTTAATCTTTGAAATGGCTGGACCGATTTTAACGGGACTTTTATTGGCTGTTAGCTGGTGTAGTAATGAGTAACTTAGGCTACTTCAATTTTAGAAAAATCCTTTTAGTTTAGTTTAGTTTAGTTTCATTTATTGACCAATGTAAAAAACATCTTTACATATATGGTAAGTCATAATATACAATAATGATATTTATAAAATTTAAATTCGATTACAATTATATTATTAAATAAAATAAAATAAATTAATTACGTACACAATACACGGTATAAACAATTATAATACGTCATAATAATGTTTAAAAATCATGATTACGGTATAATTATATAATTACATTTTGAGTCATATATTCTGTTATATTATAAAAAGGATGTTTTTCAAAATAATGTTTTATTTTCAATTTAAATTCTTTTGAAGGTAATTGTCTGATAGTAATAGGTAGCTTATTATACATTTTTATTTTTAAAGTAATGCCTTGTTTAAAAGTTTTATCCAGTCTTGTTTTTGGCAATTGTATATTATCTTTATTTCGCGTGTGGTAATTATGATTATCTGAAATCTTACTTAGCTCATTTCTTTTATCGTGTACATTTAATAAACTGTGGTACATGTACAATGAAATTACAGTCATAATTTTTTCTTTTATAAAGTGTGGTCTGGCCGATATAATTTATTTTAGAAATATAAAGTCAGATTCCATGCAGACGAAGTAACAGGTACAGCTAGTTTATTAATAAGTTTAAATAATATGATTTTGTTGAAAAATAATGCAATATCACACTACCTTCTTCATATTCAATTTATCCACAGTTATTCTTTGATTACTTAAATTGGCAACCAGCTCTTTTAGAATAGAATGTCTTTTTATAACCTGAAGAAGAAATATAGAGAAACTAAATATTCAATTTATGAATTAAATTTGCAAAAAGATTAATACAATTAAACCACTACTTCAATGAAGCCAGGTTCTTTTAATAAAAAGTGTTAAATTTTTTATGCTATATACTTTTTCTAGATAATTACCTTCCCATATAAAACATTTTAGTAGCCATAGTAAATTAGATTTTTTTTTAAATCCCATTGTAATTGAATTTTTATATTTAGTGATTTGTATGTATTATATATGTATGAAACGAGTAGTGCTTTCCATGACCATTTAAGAAGTTATTAATCTTTGTAAGAATTTTTGTGTGCTTCAAAGCATGGGCGAAAGCCAGTTATGAAGAATAGAAGAATGCATTTGTTATACAATAGTATTCCAAATAAGGGTATGATTTATTTGCAATAAGTTCTGTAAAAGCTCAACTGCGACTTCTCTGCCAACTCCTGGCACCAGCCAATGTATGCTTCCGTATCTTTTCATAGTTGATCCTGAAATGAAATCAGTTGTACTAAGTAAATATAAGTTTATATACCTAGGTATATTTTATATTTGCTTCTTATGTTTTGAAAATAATATGTATTCATCTTAAAAACTATAAACATTAATAATCATTTAGTTATAATGGTTATAAACTAGTGTTTATGACAAATCCAATATAATTAGATAAGATTCATATTTTTAAACACCATTAATATACATACCTCAAATGATCATGAAACTAGATAAATATAGCGAATAGCTACAAAGTAGCTTCATAAAATTCACGAACGACATCACGAAAAAATTCCTGTTTGTTCTACAGTAAAGCATTTTAAGAAATTAATAAATAAAATTTATTTACAGATGAGTAAATAATTTTATATGAATTTGATTAAAATAGTCACAAATTACGAGTTTAATAAATATTCCGTGTTTTGTTTTTATTTGCTTTGTTTGATGACCACAGATGTCATACAGTAATATTGTAAAAAAAATTAAATCAATACAGTCGTCAAGTGACGTCTACGGGGTTGCTAGTTTTTTAAATTGTTACCCTAAACTAAGACATGTTCAGACACGAATTAGCTACGTGCACGTGACATCACTGGCGTTTCAGACGTCCATAGGCTACGGTAACCTTTCACCATCAGATGGGCCCTATGTTTGTTTACCACCATAATAGTATAAAAAAGACGCCCCCTAGTATACTTAAAATTCTCAAAAAGTAACATGTATATATATATACATGTTACTTTTTGAGAATTTTAATTAGGTCATCAAATCAAATCAATTCTAAATAATAGCTTGACCGCTATTATTATAATGTTAATCATAATAGTATCAAATACCTGCCAAATTTAGCACCGCACGTTAAGTGATACGATTGTCATCAGCTATATAAAAATGATTGTGGGCTCTTTTATGCATGGTTATAATTGTTTGAAGGAACATGAG